GTAATTTAATAGGGTTAAAGTAATACAGACATGGCATTTATAATTGGAGTGTTTTATATCTAGAACAAATTAACTGACAAACTAGTATTATAAATTTACTCAGTGATACATAATATTCTGAAAGATGACAGTGACTTTATACAAGAAAATATTTGCTGTAATTGTAATGAAAAATTGCACTCCTTTTTTTTACAGTGGGATAGATTCAGCTATGCAAATACTGTTACTGTAATTTCTTTTCGTGAGCATCTTATTTCAGAAATATTTCCATTTTCATAGTACTAATAGTGAGCAGAGAAAAATTAGTGATTTGTAACAGTGCTTATAAGGAATGAGTGATAATAGTAAGGGCATAATAATACAGCAAATAATAACTATAGGACCATACAACGGTTTGGGTTGCAAGAGACCCTAAACATCATCTATTTCCAACCCCCTGCCATGGGCAGGGACACCTTCCACTATCCCAGGTTGCTCACAGCCCCACCCAACCTGGCCTTGAACACTTCCAGGGATGGGGCAGCCACATCTTCTCCGGACAACCTGTGCCAGTGCCTCAGCCACGCTCACAATATAGGATTTTTTCCCAGTATTTAATCTAAAACGCCCTCTGTCAGTTTAAAGCCATGCCCCCTTGTCCTGTCTCTCCGTGCTCTTACAAAAATTCCTTCTCCTCGCCTGTAAGCCCTTTAGGCACTGAGAGATGCTCTAAAGTTTCTCCAGAGCCTTCAGTTCTCCGGGCTGGACACCCCCAGCTCTCTCAGCCTGTCTCCATGGGAGAGGTGCTCCAGCCCTCTTCATGATATAATAACTAAATATTTTGTCATAAAGCATCACAACAAAGCAAAGAAAATGAAGTTGCTGTGTTTTTCCAGCTTAAATTGAGCTGGGTGTGGATCCCTGCAGCCCCCGGCAGTAGCAGGGAGCTCCCGCGGGGCGGCAGTTCAGGACTTCGGTTCCGTCGGCAGCACTCCAGGGAGTGGCTCTCCAAACAGCTTTTGCATTCCCTCTGCGCATTTAATTTCCTTATTTTTGTGTGAGTTAACAAGGATACATTTTTTTCTTCTGCAGTGATTTTTTTTTTCCCTACTTAATCTCTTAAACTCTAAAATTGATTCGTGTTAATGTTAATAATTTAAGGGAAATAAGCCTTTTCACGGTCTAATCACACCAGCATTGAAAAGTGACAGTTGCCTCTGAATAAAGGATGGCATGATTGGCAGGATTACCTTCAGGCAAGGGGAGATCTGGAGAAGTGGAATAGTGTGAAACTTCATCTCTCTCCCATGCTGTTCGGATTATTTATCAAAGTATGTGAAGATAAAAAAAAAAAAAAATCAAGGGAAATGCATGCATGTAAATTATTAACAGCCTGCCTCAGAGGATGAGCAGATTTTGTTCATACTGTATTAACTATAACAAATTTTATTATATATTCAAAGAAAAAGAAATAGGAGTTACAACTCCAACACAGTAGTAGATAACATGTGAAATAATCTCATAAGAAACTATTATCTACAAAATAACATTGTAAATATAAGAAAATATTGTCAAGAAAACGTCTGACGTTTAGGGAACTACTTGTTTATTTTTTATTTATACTGCTGACTCTTAGAGGTTGAAATGGAATGCTTGCTCTAGCCCAAACAACAATATTCTGGTGTGAGCCATCTGTAACCGAGATCTCTAATGCAGGGCACCAACAAGAATAAAGGCTGGTTCATGAAGCAGTAGCACAAAAGCAAATCTTTATTTGCTGTTGCTCAGCAACCATGTGCGAAAGGCCCATTTTTCATTTTTGCCTTAACTTGACAGGAAAATGATAATAAATATGAGATTATTATCACAGGGTATAGATTATTTTGAACAGATGAACAGATATGTCAAAGAGAGGCATGTAATTTGGTACTCTTGAAAGGAAGAATATTAGAGAAACTGAAAATAGAGTTGTAGGTTTATTACTGGCTTGCAGTTCATGCACAGTTCTTGAAAAAACCTAGAAAACATTATTCTGCCTCTCTGGTTTTTCTATGTGGTTCTTTAAAATGAATCACTTGGTGTTATTCAGCCTGTTGTTATCTGTGTCAACTTCTAGTTTCAATACTATGAAAAAAAAATCATTCTGTGGTTGCTATGCAACAGAAATTAAAAGCTAAAATATGTTTTAGTTTGTTTACTAAATGGATATGTGCCCAACTAAATAAACAGTAACCAGGTGACTAATGTAGCACCTAATTAAAAGACTAATCAAGATATTAATGAAATATTCAGTCTACATGAGTCATGATAAATAAATCCATCAGTTTGGATCTAAAATTGCAAAGATTTTTAACAGAAAAGATTTTTATGCAGAAAATTTTTATATCGGCAGACATTAGCACAATGCGTAAGTGTTAGGTGTTATACTTTCTTATTTGTTTTTACAATTCTACAGGTATGCTCATTGCTCATGCAACTTACTCCAAGCAAACTGTTTAACAGGCTCCTTGCACTTAGCTGAATACCTAAATTGGGAGAAAAAGTCAAGTCCACAGGATCTGAAACAAGCCAGCTTCTTATATCAAATGAATGTGGTAGAAAATGTGAAAACCTTAACTTTTAATATAAACTAAAACTATGAAAGGCAGGATCATAAAGGAAGATTCTATGTTAAAAATTAAAACAGAAGATGTAAATGCTACTTCTAAAGGAGTGAATTTTTACATTTAATACGAGATAAAATCTGAATTACAAAATATTTGTAAAATTACAATCCTGAGAAGTCCAACCAGATGTGAGAACTCCTATAGAAATTATAGTTGTTTTTCTGTTTGTTTGCACAGTAAAGCAGCACATGCTGCACTGCTTCTAGACTGAAAGTGAATTACTTCAGTTATGCACCTCTCTTTTCTGAACAGCCAACACTGAGAAATGCTGCTGAAAATGCCAAATGGAGAGATATAAATTAAACCCTAACTGCCTCTATTTCCAAACACTACAAAGAAGAAACAGAAGACATAATTTTCTGATATATTAAAAAAAATCCTTAGTTATCAAACTCTAAATATCATCTGAGTTACATTACCTCCTATCCATTCTGGCATATAGGCTGTTTAACTCTTGATTGCTTTGGATGAAAAGTGCAAAGTACTCATATTGTTCACCAGGACTGTGAGTAAAAGCATAGCTGTCAGCAATAGCAATACCAACATTATTGGAGAAAAAAGCCACCGGTGCAATCAAATGCGTTATGATTTTCTAAAAGCAGTTATGTCCACGTTACCAGAGATCCATGGAAGAAGGAATACTGTTTCTTAAACATGAATTTAACTTACCCTCATTTGGAAGCACTGACATTTTGCGGGTAAGTACAGAAAGAGAACAGCGAGTTGGTGGGTTTGCACCATGGCAGCAGCCTCTGAGATAACTGAAGGGACATTCCCCGGGACAAGCCGTGTCTCCAGCCAGCCTGTGTTAGAGAGCAGAGGTGGAAGGAGCCTTTCAGCGCGGCCGAAGCTGCTGGGAGCAGCGCAGCTCAGCCCCGATGCCCGCGGGGCGCTGCCGGGGCCGGGCCGGGCGCTGCGGGCACAGGCGCTGCTCAGCGGCCGAGCCGGGGAAGCGCCTGGGGCACCAATGCCACAAGCGGCGGCTGGGGAAGCGGGGGGGGTGCTCAGCCTGGAGAAGAGGAGGCTCAGGAGGGACCTTATCGCTCTCTACGGCTCTCTGAAGGGCAGATGTAGCCAGGTGGGGGTCGGGCTCTTGTCCCAAGTAGCCAGCGACAGGACAAGAAGACACAGCCTCAAGCTGCGCCAGACGAAGTTCAGACCGAACATTAGGAGGAATTTCTTCACAGAAAGAGTGACTGGAATGGGCTGCACAAGGAGGTGGTGGAGGCACCCTCCCAGAAGGTACTTAAGAAAGACTGGACGTGGCACTCAGTGCCACGGTCTACTTGACCTGGTGATGTTCGGACATCGGTAGGACTCGATGACCTCAGACGCGTTTTCCAGCCTAGCTCACTCTATGAGTCTCTGAGTTTTGAACATGGGCCGCTCACCCCGCCCTCAGCGGCGCCGCGCGCGGGAAAGGGCGGGGACGGCGGCCGAGCTCTCGCGAGAGGAGACGGGAGTTCCGCGGCGCGCGCTCAACGTCGGCCGCGGGAGGATTCGAAAAGTGGCGCGTGAGGGAGGGAGGGAGCGGGCGGGGCTGGGGGTGTCCCGGGCTGTCATCCGGTGTCCCGGGCTGTCCCCAGGTATCCCGGGCTGTCCACGGGTGTCCCCTCCGAGCGGTGCTGCCGTGCGCCGCGGGCTCTTCTACGCGAGTGTCCGCCGGCTTCGTTCCGCTCCGCTGAGGCGGCGCCGCCGTGCTGGAAGCGCGTCCCGTGGATCCATGAGGGTTCGGCCGCTCTGAGGGAGCCCGAGGTAAGCGGCCCGTCCGGCTTCCCCTGCCTGCTCTGCCGGGGCCTGGCGGGAGCCCCCGGGTGACTCGGGACGGGGCCCAGGAGCGGCCCCCGCCCCGCTCTGTGGTGTGGCTTCACACACACTAAATACTGTGTAAGTCACTTTCCCAACTAGAAAAGTACGTCAGGAGACACCTAGGATGGAGGAAATGTTTATGTGAGCAAGTAAGGCTCTTGGTGGCCTTTCCCATTTCCCATGGTTTTCACTTGACAGTCGAGAAAAGAGACTATTTTACTACCCCTCAGTGCTTCTGATACAAATAAATACTGTTGTTGGGAGTGATGGCCAGCTTAAGTAGTGGGTGGGTGCTGGAGAATGCGTTGTGCTTTTTAAGAAACAAAGTATCCAGTAAAATTTTATTCTGCTTGAAGACTATTTACTAAAAGAAAAAAAGAGAGCAAGCCCTGCAGCCTAATGATGTTGTGAATCTAAATGCTGATTCAGATAACTAAAGTAAGTTGGAGGGGAAAACTACTTTTAACTATGTATTATATGTATAACTACTGTAATATATAACATATGTTATATACATTATACATTTATAACATAAATACTATGTACATAACTGATATATGACTACAACCAAGACCAAAATAATCTTGGTTTCATATACAGTACCTTCTCTAATGTTACATTTTGTTTATAAAGTAGGGAAGACCGATTCCAGGATGAAACGTGAAGCATTTTTGCAAGTTGTATCTAAGGAGTCAATTGAAGACTTCCTGCGTTACACTCACAATCCTGTAAGTGAGCCAGTGTATACATATATCACTTCTGGAGTCATAAATCTGTTACAGATTTCTGTGCAGAAATCGTGTGACAAAGGGACAGAAACTATTAGTCTGGTACTTGCAGATGTGTGGGAATACTTGCTGTAGAAAGTAAGTTCAAATGGCACTTGCAGGTATATAGGCTGAAAAAGTTGTGGAATCTGAAAATTGAATGTTTATAAACCAACTAATTTTTGGTATTTGGTTGTTCCACATACCTTTTTAAAAAATAAATTATTAGTATTGTGGTAGTACTAAAAAAATACTAATTTCATGTTGCTGAAGTATTACATTTTAAAATTACAATCTATGAAAGAGTTTATTGGTATATAATGAATATGAGTTAATGTATAAACGTAGCAGAATTGTGTTTCACTAGTATTTGTGCATTCATTTGATAGTTTGGGCTGTCCACGTGTTCTTTGGTCCATGTTTAATTTTACTTGAATTGTTCTTTCTATCACTGAATGCTTTAGAAAAGGGGTAGATTGCTCTCTCTAAATAAAGTGTGGAGAGAACAGAGAGGAACAACAAAACAAATCCCCTGAAATCTACTATTAAAAGCTCATTCTCACATTATGTATATATTGCATAATAATGAGAAATAATAATTTGTATTGAAGTGTTTTCCACTCAGCTTCAATCTGTCTGGTGTTGAGATATACCTGACTTCTTCTAAACATCTTTTGCTTGCTGCCATAAATGGTATTGTCAATTTAGTTTCTTAAGCTTTCTAATGGGTATTTTCCTAGTAGTACCTGTATCAGGATAAAGTGCATCAGTTCACCTCTATGTGCACAGAGGCATGAACTGATTTAAGTATAAAGCAAGTATAAGCAAGTATATTAAACCCACAATCATGTTCTGTACAAAGCTCACAAAGTTTGTTTCCCAAACATCCTTGAATCTTTCTCCAAGAAATTTGCTATTTCTTTAATTTGTGTACCTGTATGTAGTTATAGATGATAGCTTTGTTACCAGATTGCCTCTGCTTAAAGTCTTCTTCCCATTTTTCCCTAAATCTAAACACTTTAACAAAAAATATTCACTTTAGTTTTCACTTGCAGTGTTTCCTTTTCAATTGTTTTGGTTGTGTTGATTCTACCATCTGCATTCAGTAAAAAATGGATTAAAAATGGTTGGGGTTTTTTTCATCCTTTTATTTTTCATCACCAATTCACAGGAGTTCTCTTGCAACAGTTTTCAGCTGTTGCCAGTGTGTCTGGAAACTTTCTGTCACCAGCTACAATGAATATATTGATTAAAATTGTCTTCATGTCTTTGTAGCATAAGGGAACACGAATAGCCACATGACTTTTTGACTGTCCAAGAGACTCAAGTTATTTTATTAATCTCCTTTTAAAACATTCAGTGATGGAGGAAGCGTGACCATGTCTTGTCTTACTGTGAGGATCCTCCTTTTTGGATCTCCCTTGAAAAATTCCTGACTGCTTTTCTGGAGGAGGCTGTGGCTAAATAAATCATCATTAAAGCTTTACTGCTTTCCTTAGTTTTTGCATTATATTTTCTACTTACTTGGTACTCTAGCCTTAGAATTTTCCTTTAGCATCACTGCTTCTTTTAGTGTCTGTTTTCTGCACACACCCCAACCTCCTTTTAATTCTCCCTTGAATTTTTCTTTTCCACACTATCAAGGTTTAGATTCATCTGTGTCTTCTAAAATTCCAGGGCTTTGTGAATTTTCCTTCAAGGTTTCTCATGGGCTTTTCATTTTTTCCTTTGTAAGATTTTTTTCACTAAATCCCATTAATTCAAGAAAATACATAATTTAGACAGAAAAATAGGAATCAGAGATATGATTATCATTCACTGTCATTCCTTCCCCTCATAGATTTTGGAATAATTCTATGTCATATCATCCCAAAGAAAAGTCCAAAGTCTCTGGTCTTATTCGGGGCTCATTCTTTCTGTTCAAAACAGTACAATCTTAATATCCTGTCATTTGGGTTTGTTTGAGGGCTGCAGAATTCCCTGTGAGGCCCTTGGTTTATTGTACTTGTTTTCAGTTGTAGAATAGAATAGAAATTCTCTTAGAAATATATAACAGGATCTTCTCATACCATTTTGGGAACTTTCTAATACTTACTGCTACTTCTTTCATTCTTTTCTCTTTTTACGTTCGATTTTGTCTTGCAGTGTATCTGCAAACTAAAAATATATTTATTTCAAGATCATGGACATTCTTCTTCTTTCTTCTGAAGTGTTTTTGATCCAGTAAACCTTCACTTCAGTACTGCAAATTACATCTCAGAAACTATCTGTTCTTTCTCGTGGTTGTGCCTGGCTTTCCTTCTCATCTCTCTGCATATTCCCTTTCCTAGCAGGTAGCCTACCCTTCTTTGATGCTAACGGACTCCTTGTGTCCCTGAGGTAAATTCTTCTAGCAGAGTTCTTACTAGGAAATAGTTCAGATCAGCCTTGTGGAGCAGTCTCTAGTGGAGACTGATGGTGGCTTTCCTGTCAGCAGGAGGTGTGGGGTCAGTGGGCTCAGGAGGTGGGTTTGATGTGGGGCTTTAAAGCAGTGCAGTGTGCAGAGCTCTGATGTGTGCTCATATCCCAAATTAGTGCTGTCTCTGTGGCTCTACTGACTGCTGCGTTTCCAGTCCTTGCCTAAGGATTTTCTTTCAACAGCCATCATCAATCGATATTTAAGAGAGTAAAGACACAATCAGAGACTTAAATTCTGTGCAGTTTTGAGCTTCTTAGCTAGGAGTATGAAATTGTCTTCATTGCTATTAAGGGCTGAAGACTTTTGTCTTAAAAGCAGCACTCTGGCTTCCTGATAGAGTTAACTATCAGGAATTTCTTCTGCTTTAAAAAATGTAACTTCTAGAAGATATTTTATCTCTATAGCTGCAGAGGAATATAAGTTGATCATTAATGTAAAAACCCACATTAAGTGTAGAAAATATGATGATGAAGTATAAGCCACTTCACTGATGTGGGATTGTGTGGTATCTTCTGATCATTTATAGAAAAATACATTTGATCATTTTGACTTGAATGAGCTACTTCAAGAATTGCCAAGAAAGCAAAAAGAAGTGCTATGGCAGAGACTGACACAGCTATTGACGGAGAGCTTGATGAAGAACCCTGTGGAAATATGGCACAGGACTGGAGATGATAAAAATGATGATGACATGGAAGTTGATATAGTTCCAGAAATGGTAAGAATCTTGTAAAATGAAAATATTATGAATGTTTCATGTTTTTTGGGAAATAAAATGGAATATTTCCATAACATCTGAAAACATGCAAGGGTTATCAAATAAGATTAGTTCCAAATATCACCTTCCTGCCCATTTTTTAAATGACTTAATGTATACTTGGGTAAAGCTGAACTTATGATTGGTCAATAGTGTAAAAGATAGATCTGCTGATAATTTTAATTATGAAAGATGTCACTTAGTTTTCTCAGTAGAGTTGAATGGGATTTTTCTGTGTCTTATTTCAATAAACAAATGTTAATGTTGCAGATGTTAAGTTTAAGTAGCTGACATATAGTATAAAAAATTCACTACCCGATTTGTGATGTCATTTTATTTAATGAAGATTGTGAAATTTAGATTTTATTGTCTTTTTCTGACTCAGACCTTTATATACTGTCTTCTGTACTGTAGTCTATGTAGCCCTGAAAATACTAGTGGAAAAGGTTCTTTAATTTGGGGGGAAGAAAAGAAATGCAGTGGGGAAATCATTAGAGAAACATAGAGGCTTGTAGAAAAATCAGTCATCTGTTCAGAGGCCTGGGAGTGAAAGTCACCAGATGTACACATCTCTGAGTTACACAAGACCCTGCTAGTTAGGGGCTTTTCAGCTCTGAAATGGATGTTTGGGTGGGTTTGTTGCAGATGAGGATTGTAGTGCTGGAATGCACATTCACAGTTACAGAGTTATGGACTAGCTGGAGCTGAAAACCCTTTTCAAACTTTTCAAAAAGATGTACTCTAAAAATCTATTCTTTTGCCTCTTATTTGATCGGTTTTGGGTGCCAGTGTGCTCCTTCTTCAAAATGGAAGCATAATAACAATTCAGCTTTGCTCTCTGTTGCTAAGATTTATTTCTTGTTTGAATTATTTTCTGAGTCCAAAACAAACTGCAGAAGTGTTTCCTCAGCATTGCTTTCTTTCAGAAACAAACTGTAGCAGTGATCGAAGGAGTGGCAGCTGTCGTTATTGCCTCCATACCTGCGGTGGATGAAAATGTAAACTACAAAGCTCTTGTAGAATGCGTTTTTATACTAAACAGTGAGTACTTCTCTGTACAGAATGTAGCATGTTACAGAGGCTGTTTGATCTGACTGAAATCCAGCTGGCTTATGAAACAGAATTCACAGGAGAAAAGTTGGTACTGGTTTGAGTTCCTGTTTATGAGACAAAATTAAGGGAGTATTTACCTAAAAATCAGCTGCACAATTTAGAAGTTGGAATGTAAATAGTTTTCTTTCTCGCAGCTGTTCACTCAGTGGAAGGTAACTTTGATTATCCTGCAACTTATACTACTTTTAAGGTAACCTCAATATTCCATTGTTACTGATCCAAAAACTTGGGCCAAACCCTAGAGTTGCCTAAGTACTGCAGTGAGCATAAGCCAAGAAGGTGTGTAAATGTGGCAGGAGCTAGCTAACACTGTGAGGTGTAGTTAGTGTGCTAACCGACTATTGTTTTACAGGAATGACTTGGTTCATTGCAGTAAATAAGTATTTCATTACTCTTGTAGGTATTCTTCCTGCATTACCTGCATCTGAAAAAATCCTACAGGATGCTATCCAACGTGTGTGTGAAATGTGGTGGGAGAAGGGACTAGAAGGGAAGGAGCAGCTGGGGAAGACTCTGTTTGTCATTCTGCTGAGAAAAAGCCTGAATAAAGCTGCTACGGTATGCTAAGGCTGTATTGACTTTCAGGTTATTATTGAATATTTCAAAAAACGTTATCCCTCCAATAAAACACTGTCTTCTCCAGAGCAAATTTTAATGATTTTTGGCATTAGTTTCACAAGAACTGGATGTTTGGGGGTTTTTTGCATTCCTTTTCATCTTTTCGCTCTTTTGTCCAATCCAATGACCAATGTTTTTATTGGAATTAACTCTTTTCGTCAACTCAGATTTTAAGTGCTATGTTCAGCTAAGCATAGAGATAGCTTTTGTGGGAAGCTTCATCTTTTCTTGCTCTTTGTCTTTCTACAAATCATTTTTCTTTCATTTTTCAAAATGTGTGAGTTACTTGGAGTATTGTGATACACATCTTTTGCACTAACCCAGTGGATGTATCCTTATTTATTTCCTCTGTTTTTCCCTGTTAACTGCATGTATTGTACGAAGTTTAAAAAGTGGAATGATGTGGTTTTAACATATCTTGCATGGAATGCCAACTTTTTTTCTGTACTTGAGCATGTCTTAATTTGTTGGAAGTCAGAATTTCTGCAGTTACATATATTTTTTCCTAGAAATGTGATGCAAACAATGATCATAATTTCACAGTCTGTAACAATGCATGTCCAGTTCATTATTTAAATTATTTGCATTAAAGCCATGCATACTCCACTCTAATGTGTGTTTATTCTTTCCTGTCAGGGTGCAGATATAATTCGTGTATGGAATCTACATCAGGCATTACTTTGTTTTGATTATGATTCAGATGAGAGTAATGAAGTCAAGGACTTGTTGCTTCAGTGTTTTATGAGTGTAAAACACATTAAGAAAGAAGAGGTAAGCCAGCTTTTATCTTACTGTGGTTTTGTGCCAGTCACCTTTGGTTGCTTTTAATAGTTTGGCAGTTTGTCTTTTTTTACTGTACGGTAGGTAGCAACATGAGACAAATCAGCTCTGACTCTAAGCTATAAATGGGTGATACTCTGTTTCATTTGGAAAACTTGTTTCTATTCCAGACTAAAGTGTGAAAGTTCATGTCTAGATCTTCAGTCCAGTTTCTTTTATCCTGAGGCAATAAGAATCAAGTGCTTTGCTTCCAGTGCATTTCCCTTGATACTTAAAATCATTCCCTGGTGTAATTTTTTTTCCTCTTTTTTTTCTCTTTTTTTCTTTTTTCTTTTTCTTTTTCTTTTTTTTTCTCTTTTTCTTCTTTTTTCTTTTTCTTTTTCTTTTTTCTTTTTCTTTTTCTTTTTCTTTTTCTTTTTCTTTTTCTTTTTCTTTTTCTNTTTCTTTTTCTTTTTCTTTTTCTTTTTCTTTTTCTTTTTCTTTTTCTTTTTCTTTTTCTTTTTCTTTTTCTTTTTCTTTTTCTTTTTCTTTTTCTTGAAGACGACTAACTGTAGCAAAATAATTCTCCTTCTAAATGACTCTATCTAGAAAATTGCGTTGCCATATTCTGTTTTAAAAGTAGAAAAGACCCCAACTTTACAGAAAAATGAGAATTACTTTATTTAACTATATACATTTCTCTCAATGAACAGTTGATGTCTTGTTGTTTTTAGATTGTGCACAGGCACAATCTTGTGGTGTCCAAGCCTTTTTTCTGGCTAGATGACCACCTGACTTTGTCTCTGAAGTTCTAACTCCTTCCTGCATGTGTAAAATAGATATATTCCTTTTCCTGTGGAATATATGAACTTCTGTCATAAAATGAGCACAGAGATTGCTGCAGTATAAGGATATAGCATTTTAAAAATGGAGATAACAAAGGAGTTAGGTGAAATGTTTGATAGAGCAAGGTTTGGACACTTGCCACAAAGTTAGTGGGGTCTTTGTTACTTACATATCATATTTTAAGCTATCTTAGTTTTGACTAAAATTATGATGTACTAAGGCAATGTAAGAGATGGGAATGGAAAAAGAAAACGTGGGTGGAAAGAAGAAAGACAGGTAGGACTTTATTGACAGAGTTTACAATAAGTTTTGTGTCTTTGGTGTATTTAATTTTAAGATTTTTTGTTGTCTGGAAAAAGTGTACTTGTGTGTGTTCTTTGTCACAGTACTTAAAATGCATTAGCTATATTTGATTCTAGATGGTTTTTCTTCTGTTATATTTGAATCCAGTGTATTATTTTAATATTTGATCTTCATATAGGCACAGTAAATAATTGGTCATTATATATGTAAAGTACAACTGCTATCTACACTTTAGAAGCAAATTCTTGTAGTTCTTTTTTTTTCCACATCATGTGAGATTTTCAGCTCACATGATTTTCAGCTACACAGCTTTTCTAAAGGAGGTTTGCACCTTGAATCTTTGAGTGAAACAGTATAAAAGTAGTGGTTTTGTTGTGTTTTTTTTTTTTTTTTTTAATAGGATGGGAGAAAAGCAGTGGTAATCAGACTTGGTAATGAATATTTTTCCTGGCATAAAACTCATCTACTTTGCTCCACAAGAATGTTCAGATTTGGCCACGCTTTGCACATTTGCTTCTCTGCCTAAGATTTTTCTCTTCACTCTCCCAGGGATTTCTGGCTCTTGACATTTTATCACATTTGCATTTTCATAGGCCTGTCTCTTTCTAGGTAGATATAGAGAGCAACTTACTGCACTCTCTGCTCTGTCATCTGATCATTAGTGGTTTAAATCCTTAATTCTGGATTCTTGGCTTTCTGGCTGGAAGGATTGATTGAAAGCAGCAGCTCCCAGCTGTATCCTAAGGGCTCAGCCTTGGCCAGTGGTGAGTCTGCCTTGGAGCTCTGCTGTTGGCTCTGTTGACACGGGGAAACTTCTGGCAGCTTCTCACAGAAACCACCTCTGCAAGCCTCCACTGCCAAAATCTTGCCATACTAGCCCAATACACAAGTCACTTTACATCCTGGAGGATAACACTTCAAAATAAAAAGAACCATAACCCATTCTGGAGGGATCCTAGGACAGAGTTCAGTTAAATTAAGTGTTTGAAATAAATTTAGAAATCAGTGCAGGTCTGGGAAGGATTTGATTGCTTAAGTGAATGACCCATGCTATGTTAAATGACCTAAGTTGCTTCAGACATCCATGTGGGGCTGGCATTTAAAACACTGTCATAGATCTCTGCCTTCTGGAAAACCATCTGGGCATGTAAAATTGCTCTGCGTTTAAGGTGTGCCATATTAACCCTAGTCAACAGAGTCAACAGAACAATTCAGCTCCATAAAATAGTAACTAAACAGCTGATCACATGAATCAGTCTTCAGACAATTAACATTTCAGGGACTTAAACATCCAAATTCACGTCTCAGTTTATGAGCAGAACCCAGAATGGTAACCAACTTGGATTTTCCTAGCTCTGCAGACAGGAGATTCAAAGTGTTCAAAGCATTTTCCTGTTGCTATGAAGCCATTTTACTTCAGTTGTGAGTCCATTTGTTTGGGATTTGTGTGCTGTTGGAGTTCACTTGCAGTGATAACACACCTCATGTGTGTTCTCTAATTTCTCTTCCTGGCTCATTTCACTAATAATAGATTTCTTGTAGCAACAAGAAACCAACCAACACTCCCCCAGTATCTCTGCTGGACCTTTTTTTACATCCTGTAATTCTTCTAAAATGCTCGTAGTAATACTAAATATCAACATGATGTATGAATTGCTTTGAGATGAAACTGATCTTTTGTGTCTCAGGCCTAATACTCCCTTTAATGCCTGCAGACTTGTCCTACAGTTCCTAAGAAAAGTAATCCCAGTGTTTTGGGAACATACCCCAGAGCCCAGCGCCATAGCAGGTTAAGCTGCTATAACTCCAGTGCAATGATCCTATGTTGCCATAGGCTAGCATTCCTCTTTTCCTTTCCGCAGTGTAATGTTCAAGCAGCAATGTCATGGGTTGATTGAAGGAGGTAGTTGTTTTCTTCTAGTAAGATTATTTTTCAGACAGATTAACTGTCTGGAATGGTTCATCATGTGCAAGACTGAAGGAAAGGAAGGGCCAGGAATGCTGTGTGTCAGTTCTAAATCAGATTAAACCAATAGAGAACTGTACATTTATACCTCATTGTAGGATCAGGGAGTTCAGTGTTTCTGCCTTCCCAGGCTGTTCTATTCAACACAGAGTAATACTTCTCTGAGGCTTATTATCAGGCTATATTAATGGGGTGATCCTCTGAATTTATATCTCTGTGACTTATGAAAACATTCTTATTCAGATGGGGTTTCTAGTCAAACAGCTTCAGAGTCTGCAGAGCATGTTACTGTGTTTTGGAGGCGGGTCTCTTGTACTGTTTCCTTGCTAACTTTCTCTGTGTGTGTAGAACAAAGTCACATGCTCTGTGTCCACAAGTACAGCAGTACCAGACTCCCAACACTCTGATACTGCATTAATACCAAAGATGACAAGTTCACAGTGTTACTCACCTATAAGCAGGTTACCTCTCATGATAATGAGAATGTTGATAGCAATAATTCAGATCCATTAAACAAAGGCAGCAGATTAAGTTAGAGGCACCTATGATCATTTTTAGGAGCAGACTCAATCTTTTGAAACTTAAGGTTGAAAAGAATTGGTTGAAAGCTATTTTTTGGCTTTTTATCATCTGTCTTGCTGCTGGGGTTGTAGAAGATGAGATGAGTTTGGGTTTGTCCTCATCCATGTTTCATTGAGGAAAGAACTGTAGGTCAAAACTCCTTTGACCCTTTGTTTTGTCAGGGATGTTGATGTGGGACTTCTCTGTGTTTATATTAGGCCATCAAAGTTGGAGACAGAGACAACTCTCACTGACAACTAGAAGGATTCCATCAGACCTGTAGACAAGAATCTTGACATTGTGTTTAGCCTTTAGGTCTTGATTTTATGAGCTTCTGAGTTACTTCTTCACCTAAGGGCATTTCAGCTACCAATTGCGCTACAGGGCAGCTTCTGACTATGTGCTTCCATCTCCCTCCCCTGCTCTAAGAGATTTCAACTCCAAGTGTGACTGGCACTCTATTTCTCTGTTTGGTCTTAGGTGTGACCACAACTCTTGGTCCAGCTCTCAATGGAAGTGCCTCTGAACCTCTGCTGTTTGTTCAGTGATCCTTTTGCACTTCTGCCAACGTGCTCTTTACTACTGCACTTCCTTTTTTAATATTCCTAATTTATTTTTGGCTAGAAAGTTGATAGAAAGGACTCTTACAATTGGCTGACTCACCCTTATGTGTGAACAAACATTTTGAAGTCTTACCTTCATCTGTAATCTAAGTCAGAATGAGGATGCCTGTACATATACTGTATAAGACCCCAATTCCTTGGGTAGATCTTGCTGATTCTGGGAGAGTATTGGCTTATTTCCTTCATCCACAGCCTTCCACTACCTTTTATTGCAAAATTCTATTGGTAATCACATTCATCATCATTGTTCCTGACTTGTTATAATGGAAGAAAACTAATTTTGGAAAAATAGTTTCTGTTTTCATGAATGAAAACCGCTCCAGGAAGTTTGCAATATTACCTTTCATGTGGCAAGAGGAAAGGAATTGTTCTTGCTGATCAGAACATTTAATTTCCTCAGTGGCTCAGCTGTTCTCTGTGGCTTTGTTAAAAATGCTTCTGTGTCCAGTGCTGGGAGAGTCGTGGTGTTTTATTTATGCCTTCACCATCATTCCAGTGTCATCCTGGGATGCTATTGCACTGGGCAGAGCTCAGTGATCCAGCCTTGATGAGGGTGCTGATGGCACAGTCTGTTATTGTTCTGGAGTGTGCTGAAGGCACACCAAAACAGAAAGGACGTTCAAAGAATGGAGGCAGATATGTGATCCACTTGTTCATTTGTTCTGTGTTTTTTCTACAGTATGAATAACAGTAGTGCTTGGATTCTGTTTAATAATTAAGAATCTTAAATAGTTTCTTCCATTTCACCTCTGCATTTTAAAATTAAAGATATAATTTCCATTGTATTTACTGATTTTTGAAGTGCTCTTAAATTGAATATTCTTCTGAGCTTTGAGTTCCCTTTGTTTTTTCCTCTTTTCTCCTCCCCACAGGGAAGAAGACTCTTGAGTTTTTTGTTCAGCTGGAATGTAAACTTCATTAAAATGATACATGGAACTGTTAAAAACCAATTACAGTTCTTTCCAAGGTATGCATCCCAGTTAGAGTACTTAATTAGTAAGAACTTGTCTAGAATCTTGTCTCACTCTAAAAATACCTAATGTATCGAAAAAATATATCACTATCCAGAAACCCACAAATCTTCTGAATATAACTGCTATATTGTTTCAGCAACTTCATTCAATAGTAGCTCTGACGTGCCTGGGTGTGCAGTTACAGGAGTAAGAAATGTTTATTTGCCATTAGCTAAAGCAAATGACTTTGATGGAAATTGGACTGCATTATTTGCAGTGCTTGTGTGAGGGTTGCAGGTCCATTTCTCCTTTTGTAGGGTGTTTCTATTTCCTACGAGCAATCTCTTAATTTAATTTGCTCAGTTTCCATGTAAGGCATCCTAATAAGAAGTGACTTGCAGGATAAATCATAACCTGAAAACTTGGTTGATGGATAAAAAATACAGAGATTTTTTTTTCTTTGATTATGCAGTGAAATATTGCAGAAGTAATTCTATGTATTAAAATCAGAGGCTTTCTAATGCTTTCAGGTAGAATAATGTATTCCTGTATGTCTCTATAAAGAATTTAAGGCATTCTTCAATGATACATGAATGATAAAGTGTCTCTCTGAATGTTTTGACTCTCTCACCGTAAGAGATATTTCAAATATCATGTAGTCGTGCTTGGGTTCATTAATTAGGAGTTAACTTGGTAGTTATTGATGTAGACTTGAAAAATAATTTCTTCTAAAAACCAATGTGATGCACAGAATTAAGAACAGTGTTGGTTCTTATACAAAACTTCATGTTTTACCTTTATGAATTGTACATCCATATGGTTAGTATGCTTTCTTGACAGTGTTTCCTATATGTTAATACAGATTCTTGATGGAATACATTTCAGAAGTTTACTTCAGGGCCTGGAAGAAAGTGTCAGGAGAATTCATAGAGGTAACACTATGCTTGAAATTTCATTTGGATAGTTTTGAATTTCAAGATGGGAAAGACTCATGACTCTCCACCTCAGAGAGGTTCCTTTAACAAGCCTTAAAAAATTATTTCCCTAAGGAAAGGGCCTCTTCAGCATTGTAAAGGAGTTACCATATGTCATGCTTTGAATGTTTTCCCGCTGAGATGAGCTTGGCTGCAGTTAAACACCTTTAATTCTGCTGCTGAAGTTTTGGTTCACACAAATATGCGTAAACACAATGTCTTTCATAAACACACCCATTAGCTTGAGTTACTGAAGCTTTTATTCAATATATGCAAGTCGGTATAGTTGATAGCTCAAGTATTTATCTAGTTTTTGTGAATTTCCATGGAAATGATTAAAGGCATAGTTACAGATCACAACAATGCCAGAGCAAAATTTCAGATAACAAAATATTTTTATTTGCCTCGCTTTTAGCTTCTGACAGTTGGACTAGTATATTCTGAAATTTTGAAAATCAATTGAGGCAGATTGAGACCCCCAGCATGTAAAAATTTGGAAGAAGTAGCAGATACAATTTTCAGTTGCTTGTTTTAGGGAAAAATATAGTTGCTGCACAACTACAGTACTTGCTGTTGTTTTATTGTGTTAACAGGAACATGTGTGTGTTTTTACTGCAGATACTTGAATACAACTGCATTCAGGATTTCATGCATCATGGAATTCATCTTCCTAGAAGTTCTCCTGTTCATTCTAAAGTTAGAGAAGTAAGTTTCAGGAAAGCATGATATGAGCTAGTAGCATCAAAATGAGATCAGTTGCTATAAAGTGGAAAATATCCATTTGATACTAAAATACCCTACTAGGTGTGGTTGGAATGGAAATACTTCCCTTCATAGCAGCCTGTATATGTATAGGGCTGTGTTTGGGGTGTGCTGGTGGCACAGCAATGTTCTGGTGCTGCTGAGCAGAGCCTGTGTGGTCTCAAAGGCTTTCTCCTCCCCATGTTTTCCCTTGGGAGTGGGCTGGGCATGAGCAAGAGGTTGGGAGATCACAGCTGAGACAGCTGACCCAAATTGACAAGAAGGATATTGGATGCCATACAACAATCATTCTCTCAGCAAACTGAGGGAAAGCAGGTTTTGGGAGGCAGCCATTGCTGGGAGGCTGGCTGAGTATTGGCCTGCTTTTGGCAGGTGGTGAGTGGTTGTATTTGCATCACTCCTTTAAAGGTTTTTTTGGTCCTCTTTGCTTCATTTATTAAATTGTCCTTATCTTGACCCATGAACTTGCTTTTCTCTTCCAATTCTTTCTTCCCCACTGAGCAGGGAGGGTGTGAATGGCTGTGGGTGTTTAGCTGATGACTGGGGCCAACCCACCACAAATACTTGAAAAAATAGCATATCCTGAGAAACGATGTTACAACGAATTTTAGGAGGAGTCTGCTTACAGTTTTGCACCAGATTTGTCTTTGCTGCTCAAAAGTACAAATAGCAGGGGATTTCCCAGAGTGCCAGAAATAGTTTTTATTGTCTAAGCTTTCTTTACCTATAGAATTGACCTTTCCATAGATAATCACAGGAATGAAAAGTCATAACCTTCTTGAGGCAAACTTAGTAGATGGGTCTGACATGAAACTTTTTCTTTTATAATATGTAAGGGATTTGTGTATGTTTATAGGGACAAGCTTTGATTCTAGTTGTCTGTCTGTGGCATTTAGCCATGAGCAGAACATTTGAAGTAGAATGAGAAGTGCACAAGGCTTTTTAAGACATTTGTATTTGATCAATGCCCCTTCCCCTCCCATGCTTTCTCCCAAATACCCAGACTCTAGAGTGTATAGTGTGTGCAATATACAGCTCAACATACCAGCTGTACAAGACTATAGTGGGTTTTTTGTTTGTTTTGTTTTGGATTTTTTGGAGGTTTGCTCAGTTTTGTTTTCTCATAGCTATAGGATTTCCTTGTCCTGTGATTCCTGATCGATGGAACAGGCTTTTGACAGGGCATTTCATGTTTTTCAGACTCCGAGGCTTAGAATCTGGAAAGGACAATGAATAAATATGTCTTTGGGCTGCAAGTGGAGTAGGTCTTGGAATAGATTTGAACTGACCACTGGAGGGTCAGCTTCTTTTCAAATTTTGTGTAATCTTGTATTCTGTTTTCCAAGATCTTCAGGGAATTATCAGTGCTATATTGATCAAGGCCAGAAAAGTTCAGAGGATGATCTCACTTTCTGATTAATTACCAACCTTGGAACACAGCTCAAAAACTGCTCAGTGTTTCAAGTGGAGGAATTCTTCATATCAAGTTCCATGATGTCCTTTCTCATATTTTGCTCTGGTCTTCCACTTTTTCTCTCTTTTCTGCATAATTCAGATACAAAAATAACAGGATTTTTAGCTAATTAAGTACAATTTTAAGTCCCAAGGAGTGCAGATACTTGCTTTTCATCAATGCATAAAAAATGCATTAGGTTTGTACACGTGTATTCGGATAACTCCACTTACCAGATAAGTTCCTTTGTTCTTAACAGAGAAAAGGCTTATTTATCTGTAGTTCATCATTTCATGGTTTTAAAGTATTTCTGCCAGTTACTTTAAAAATAATTTTTTGCAGTACCAAAAATGAAGTGTTGCTGTGGAATTCTCTAACCGTTTTTTTCTTAGTTGTAGATCTTTATATAAACTTACTGACTCTATAAAGTGATAAAATATTATATTTATTAGATTGTTGTAATTTTTACTATTTTTGAGAATTCCTAATAAGATATAGGATCAACTAAAGTGTTTTATCATTTCCATAGTATGAAAACTCTGTCTTACATAATTATGAAATATGACAACCCCTTACTCCTTCCTGAATACAGAATGTTAAAATGGCTTTGGGGCCTGTTTTATTTATTTTTTCTTAGTTGCTGTGTTATTTTCATAAGCAAAGTAAAGTTCGTCAAGGAGTTGAAGAAATGCTCTATAGATTGTATCAGCCTATCCTCTGGAGAGCACTGAAGGTAATTATCCTCTTCAAAAAATACAACTGTCTTTCTCCAGCTATTAAATTTTGGGTCCCTTCCACATCTTCTGTTTTTATTATTTGCTTTTAAAATTAAACAGCCACAAAAACCAAAATGAGTGTTTAACATCACAGATGTAGCTGAGTAACTTTGCAACTTGTAATTAGGCATAGCATGCACAATAATATTCTAATTTGTTAATATAATTACTTGTAAAGTTCATTTTTGTTTACAGGTACGTAGAGTGCTTTCCAGGATTGCAGTTGATATTCTTACCTTCTCAGTCTGAAAATTCTGTGTAATCTTGTATTATCTTTTCCAAGATCTTTAGGGAATTATCAGTGTTTTATTGATCAAAGCCAGAAATGTTCAGAGGACGGTTTAGTCTCACCTGTTGATTAATTACCAGCCTTAGAATACAGCTCAATGAATTTATTAGAGTATTAATTTAGAAAAGCTTTTATTCTAGTTGGATTGTATGGACAGACATTAATGGTATGAATGTGCACTCAGAATGAAATTTCTTACTTGTAGTTCTTTTATGGTGTGTATATGTCCTTCTGTGGATTGCATTCATGGACTAAAGGAGACCCACTGCAGTTTGTCTGCTCAGTTACACTCTGTGATTAAGAGGAGCCAGCTTCCTTCTTTGGTGACAGCTTTTATTTTGTCTGAAGTTATGAAATCCCTGTTTATGAGAGCATACACATAGAGCCAAGTTAATTTCTGGTAAACATTTACAATTTCGTTTACTGGTTGGTCATAAGCATCTTCTCTAGACATGAGAAAGGTATTTGAAATTCTCAAAGTTGAAAGTATTTCCTATTAACTTCAAAAGTTGTTTACAATGGATTTTATGAGTTACAAGAAGGGAGAGCTTTTTGGTTTCAACAGAACCCTGTGGTAGAGGTAGAAATACAAACAGAGCCATTGCTAGCCCAGTATCTTGTCTGGTCTTACATTAAAGGTTAGATCCCATCCTTTTAGAATTAATGTAAACAAGGAACCTTCTGTATGAAGCATTTATGTCCTAGTGCCAGAGAATAATAGCTACAAAGCATGACTTCCTTTAATTTCTACATTTCTGTCTCCAAAAAGAATAGGGGTTTTAACTGATTTTTTGCTAAGTTAACAAAAAACAGTATTCCATTCTTAAGGGAGTTGCTGCCTGTCAGTGGAAGGTCAAAGTCACTTTCCAAAGCCCAGGACTCAAAATGTGGGACTAGACTACTTTTTGGAGGAAGATTCTGTTAAACCTTATGAAATCTGCATACATTCATTTGGAGAAATGTAACAGACGGTGTGTCATGAGGGAAAAAAAAGGTTAATGATTGATTTGCCACAAGACAACAGGAGGATTTCTGATTCCAGAAGTGGTTGAAATTTTTACCAGCTGCTATTCATAATTTTCACATCACAAATGGTTCCATTGCTAGAACAAATCATATAGTACCACATGAAGTATTTGGCATTTTGAACTGTTGCTGTGGCTCAGAATCACCAGTAGTTTAAGATGCAGAACTAGGAAGGGAAGCTTAAAACTGTTCTTACTGTTATGGATTCTACTCCAAAGCTTGAAATGTCAGTTTAATTTTAGATAATCAGTTTGATGCTCCTATTTTAGCCAAATCCCTAATTTAATATAGAGAAGAACAAATTCTGTTCTAGAACAATGGTTATGAAACAACGTATACACAAGGCCTGTTTACTCCTCCTTCTTGCAGAAACCAAAAATACTTCAGTTGTAAGAATACAATGAATTCCAGAACTGTTGATCTCTAAATTGAGAATACACATTTGTGATACAGTTCTCTGTTTTTTCTTCAAATGTGTGTTTTGCAGCTACTTAGACTGCACAAGCTTTTGTTGGGGCTTTTACCAAGACATCTTTTGTAAGGCTTTGTGCAACTTCAAATTTTTGTAATATAAGCCCATATATCATTTCATCTTTTTTCATGTTATCTTATGAAAAGCAAGTGTCATGCAAACATAAAAGAGATGTGCAATGATTGGTTGTTAGTATGAGAAGATATATGGATATAAAAAATACGGGTATTTAGTGTGAGGTAAGTAGTGATTAAGCTATTTCTTATCAAGCTGAAAAAGTCAAGAACCACTCTCCAGGAATTCAAGCTGTTGAAGGAAGTGACTCCTTTAAAGTGTTTGGTTGTCTTTTTAATTTTTTTTAACATCCCATGCATTTAAACTAACGTCCTGGGGAAGCAGTATTTTAAATAATTGGAAGTGAATTTCAGAACCTATAAGACCAGATAAAATTTAAAAGAAAGCTATGAAAATTAACTGAAGAAAAAAATTAAAATATTGTTTCAAAAGGTTCTGAAAGTTCCTCAGAATAGTACAAGCATAATGGTAAAGAAATATTAGTAATTTAAATAACTGCAGGCTCTGGCATGGAAAAGTCAGTGTGGATTAAAACAGGCCATGAATTTAAAGTCCTTGGTTCTACCTCTGAAGACATTGTAGGAGCCTGAATATGTAAATACATTTGGGATAAATTCCAGTTAATTAAAGGCAGGAATTTGAACTGTGGGTACTCAGTTCAGAATTAAAAGTGAGCTTAATGGAATTCAGTGTAATGCACTTTAAAAGTTTATGGAAATTAACTTTCTGGAATGGCTGTGGTAGACAAGGTCTAGGTTATTGCACAAAAACACATTTGAATTAATTTTCACATGCAATGTTAGTGCAGAAGAGCTATTTCACCCTGAATTCACAAATTATCTTGGTATGTGTTAATTCTTAAATATAGACAAGCTCGGAGTTAAGAATTTTCTACAACTTTATAGAATAGAATTAAGAATTGTGATCTTTTCACCTTTAAACTGTTTGCATTATCTATAATAAATAAAGAAAGATACAAGTCCCTAACTAAAGAATGTATGTGTGTGCTTTATTTGCTTTTGTAATATTCAATTTAGAATTCCTAGTAATTTTGTTGACTTGAAGAATTTGGAATGTTATGGTTCTACTCTACCATATCAGGATTGGTCAAGAAGAGAAACCCAAAACAGATTGTAAATGAAGTAATTGTTACTTATTTCTTTTGTACTTTTCTGGTTTTACTTGTCGTTAGTTTATTGAAGTCTAAATATTACATGGTTATTGCCATGTTTCTTTTCCCTGCCTTAGATCTCAGTGTGCTCTATACGGAAAGGAGAAAAATAGATGATTAGAAGAGTCAGGATTTTCCCTGAACTGTCTCGTCTTGCTGTTAAAATTCGGTCTACTTTGCTTGTTATGTTGAGAGATTTTATTTCTTGTTGGACCCAAAATCTGGACAAAATTCTTCCTTCTCTCTTCTTTCAAGAGAAGTCAGCAGAGGCTCTTAATCACTGCAGTGCTATCTTTGATAGATAAAATGTAGTTTGATGATTAGATTTCAGCTTTCTCCATGAGATGCCTTGAATTTCTTCATGGTTTCATTGCCTGGTCTCTTTTTCCTTTAAGTGTCCACAGAATCAATTATCTTTCACTGAATGAGTGTCTAAGTATGCACCTTTTTCTTTTGCATTTGTGGCTCTACAGCCAGTAAAATATATGATGGAGTACACTGAAGATTGTTAAATATGGTAAAATGTTGTGAGGTTTCCCATAGATTTTTGATGAGCTGCCTGGAGCTCAGAACATAGTTCTAATACTTATGTGCAGGAATGTAGAACTGAATAAGCTTTTGCTGGATAAGTTACTTTCCAGGCTTTCTGGTACTTAGTTACTAAATACTATTTTCTTGAAGAAATAGGCTTGAGCTTTTCAAATTAAATCGCCTGTCTCTTGACAAGCAAGTTAATTAATCCAATCTGATTGAATTCAAGAGTCTTCTGTCTTGAATAGAAGCTTTAAGGCCACCCAGAGAAAACCCAACTGCTTTTAATTTATTCAGCCTTACAGAAAGCAGAAGGGCTCTGACCGTGATTCCTCAGGGTTTTTTAAAGCTGATATGCTTTAAAAGCTGATTGTAACAATAATTCAGGTTTTACTGAATGGGCAGAAATAGAAGATGAAACATTAAAACTCATATGTGACTTTAAGTTCTTCCATCCATTTATAAATTCATCTCTTCCATCTACTTAATTAAAAACACTTGTTAAAACGTTTGGAAAACAATATTTTACAGGATACACCTTTGGATAGTAACAGTTGGTCCTTATGGAAAAAATATCTTTTCTTCCATTGTAACAGGCCAGAAACAAAGAAGTTCGAGCAAATGCAGCATTTTTGTTTATTGATGCTTTTCCTATTCGTGATCCCAGTTTTACTGCTGAAGACATGGACAGTGAAATTCAGAAACAGTTTGAAGAACTTTTTGTAAGTTTTAATGAAACTAAAATGTTAAAAATGAAACTTTTATCAAAGCTAACTAAAAAAAATTGTTGATGCAATTAAAATTTATGGAATTTCTGGATAGTTGTAGGGAAATAGAAGTCTGTGGTGCAGAAAATAAAAGGTAAATTAATATTTAAAATTTCTGTAGTATATTTTCTGCAGGTGCTAACTACCACTCTAAAAAGGAAATGTTTTGTTTGTTATTCATTAATCTGTGAATGAGAGATGCCTTTGAAAGATTAAATGCACAAGTAATGATCTTGATTCTTACTTAACCTAGGATTGTGGGGAAGAGCTTCACAGTTAACTGTGGAAGCACTCAATGAAGGTTCAGTACTGTATTACTAAAGAGTTCTGAAATGAAGTATAATGGAGAGAACCTAAAAATCTCCTTACCAGTCCAGATTGGTGAGAATGGGCAGAGTATTTTCATTAAGAAAATGTTTGGGGATTCCTGAGTAAACATCAGGTAATTGAATGAATTTCAAAATTTTTATGCTGCTCCATAGGAACAGTGATCCGTGCAGACTCATATCAATAGAAGTCCAAATACTCTTAAGTCACAAATGCAAGGCTTGATATAGTTAAAAAAATAAATTCAAAAGTGCAATAAGAAAAGTTAACCAATAGTTATCTTTATTTTGCTTCTGATTTAAATTTCCTTGTTTTCTTCATAGTAAAATGCCTTGAGGGACTAATAGTATTACAGTTCTTTTATTGTTTGACCGTTTTCATGATGATTAAAAGGTAATGGAAAGCATTTTGTTTATGATACAGGTCAAAGAGCAGTAGAGACAATAATCTCACAGTATGTTGTCACATATGCTCACAGTATTATTCTGTTTATTTTAGAATCTCTTAGAGGATCCTCATCCAGTTGTCCGCTCTACAGGGATACTTGGAGTTACTCAGATCACATCCAGATACTGGGAGATGATTCCTTCAACAATTCTTGCTGATCTTTTAAAAAAGATAACTGGAGAGCTGGCATGTGATATAACATCTGCTGATGTTCGATGCTCTGTTTTTAAAGTAAGTGGTTTTTGTCATGAATGTAATTTTTCTATTTTACTTGATGTACAGATTTCTAGTATAGACCACTTTAAATCAAGGAAATTACTTGTTCTTCAAAATGTCTTATGCAATAGAATTCCTAATACATGGAGGTTTTGCACATTTCATTAAAGCCACATGTTTCAAAACACAAGTGTCTTTTAAAATAGTCACTGATTGGCTTTCTGACTCTAGGCTTTTTCAATTCCAGTTGTACACACATTGTTTGGACCCAATAATTATTTTTTTAGCTATTGGAAATGATGCTTAGACTTGAAATACATGTAGGCAGGTTCCAGGATGTTCTTACATGAGTGGGTTTAATGCATCCCAAGACATGTACAATTAGGATTTTGTACCCCACTTTGTGTATCTGAGGTTTGGATGGATATAATTCCACATTTGTTTGGTAATGCCTCTTCCCATGCATTGCTCACTATGTTAGAAATAGTTCACCTACATCTTTCTGGCACGTGAGAAATAACTGATAGCTTGGGCAGAAAAATGAACTCCCTAAGTTGCATTTTCACTTGAAGATTTTGTGTCTGTGTCATTTCAGCCTTAAATTGAAGCTGTCATCCTGTTAATCCCCACTTGCTCCACTGCTGCTTCATGGGGGAGCTATCCTGGATAAGCAGAAAGTGCTTCGTATAAAAATGAATTTGAAAAAATAAATATATTTTTAATTTGAAATCAGCATCTTTTAGAGAACTGCTGTGCCCTCAGGTAGAGTGCAAGACCTTGGCCTTAGTGTAGGTCTGAAGCTGATGCAACTGAAGTGAGTTCACTGAATACATTTCATTGTAAATTTGAAGTAATCAAAGCAGTTTTTACCAAAGAATATTGCAAGAAAAATAAGCATGTACAGTGTCTGCCCCTGCTTTATTTGACATGAGAAGTGTCATAGTCCTCTTCAACAATTTTTAACTATGGATTTTTCAGCTCTACTTTCTGGATTTGTTTTTTTTTTTTATTTTAGTGCCTACCAATAATTTTGGACAACAAACTAAGTCACCCACTCCTGGAACAGCTCCTGCCTGCAACCAAACACAGTCTTCATGACAATTCTGAGAAAGTGAGAGTGGCTTTTGTGGAAATGCTGCTCAAAGTGAAGGCTGCCAAGGCTGCTAAGGTAGGATAATGACACTTGATAAGTAGCAAGGAGACAAAATCAAGGCATTTATTTAAAATTTTTAAAATGTACATTTTGAGACCTCTGCAGTGATCCTAAAAAAGAAAGAAATAACCTGCTTTGCTCTGGTAATACTTACTATTTTTGCTGTCCTGAGTGCTCTGTGGGCCCTTGTTCTCTCTGTGGATGGGCAGGGGAGAGCAATGGGTTACAGCCACTCTTCCCTCAGCTGCCTAACTCTTCTAAATGCCTAACACCTTAACCCAGTAGCTTTTTTGCTTTGATTCCATTTTTATTGTATCTGTTTCTATTTGTGGCCACATCCTTTGAGATTCTCGTGTCTTTTTATAGTGATTTTTAATATTTTATATTTAAAAAGTATTTTAAATATTAAATAATTAAATATTATATTAAAAATATTTAATATAATATTTTGTGTTCTGCTGTGGACTCTTGCTTAGGGTGATACTGTCCAGGCACAGGCATTATAGCATCTTTGAGCTCTTATTCCACTCTCTAATGTTAATAGTTTCTTAATTTCAATTTTGTATTTTAATTTAGCAATGGTTTTATCTCTTGCTAAGCCAAATAAAGACATAAAACTGTTAGAAAGCATCCAGAGGAGAGCTCTGAAGACGGTGAAGGGTGTAGAGGGGAAGCCATACAAGGTGTGGCTGAAGTCATTCGGTTTGTGAATTATTCTGAGTTTGTTGCCATTAAAGACAAAGAAAAAAGATAATTTTCAAGGTTCAAGTGATTTTTTAGGGGAAGGAAAGATCAGGTTTGCATAAAGAAAAAAACATCCTAGTATGTGTTAGGTGTTTTTCAGTAACTTCCTATTAATTTAAAAATTGTAATATGTATCTCTGGTAAGTCCTGGAATCACTTTAAACTTGCTTTTTATGACAGTTCTAACAGTGACATCCATAATTCGAATTCATGGGGTAAATAGCTTCTGCAAGTATTTCTATTCAAGAGTAAAATAGGTTCCTTGGCATTGAAAAATACTTTCTTTTTGGTTTTTTGTTTTAATTTGAAATTGTCCAGCATGATTAATTCAGAATCTTCTCACAAAAATTACAAGTGTGGTGTTACTGCTGGCATAACAGCTGTGTAGTCTTTCTGAGTTTCATAGCCTTTGATTTCTGTGTTAGAAATAAACTAGAGCTCTGCTGGGAATAGAATGCATTCAGTATTTAGTAATGCAGGGTTTTGGGATGGTTTTGGAAAGGGTGTTGATCCATACAGGTTAATGTGTACACAATACTTGTAAGTAGTTTGGTCCTGCTTTGTGGGGAGAATATGAAACACGGCACATAATGACAAATAATTGCATTTTATGGTGAGATACTTATTGAGTAAATAATTGTTCCCTGTATCTATGGAATTGCATTCTTATTGTAGGTGTATTGAACTGGAATTGCTTGAACCACAATTTTACCAATAAGTCAGAGATACCAGGAGATATTAAACATCAGCACAGCAAAATAACATTGCAGCAGAATTTGGCTTCCAGTACACGTTGGTTTAAAATAAAAAATACTCATGTTTTCCAGGTTAATGTTCACTATATTTGTTTAGACTATTGACAATCACTTAATGAAGGTGATGGTTTTTTCCTCTATTTGTATTTAAGTCCTTTGAATATCTTTTTCTGGCTTTACAAAGTTCTGGAATATCTGTCCCATGGAGCATCTCCTGTCTCGCCTTGAAGCTGATTCTCGGCCGGTGTCCCGGCGCATCGTGAACCTCCTGCTGAACTCCTTCTTCCCCACCACCCAGCCCGAGGATGTGTGGTGTGAGCGCTGTGTCACCCTCATCCAGATGAATCCAGCAGCAGCCAGGAAGTTCTATCAATATGCTTGTGAATTTACTGCCCCCACCAATATAGGTAAAGCACAAAACGTTGTGAGCTTTTGGAATTACTGATATCATGCCATGCAAATGCTTTTTTCTTCTTATTTCTGTAATAGTGGTGCATTGTTGCTAGATCTTTTTGGGGTTTAGTATAATATTATTTTGTAGTTTTTCAAATTTCTTGACACCAGCAATAAAGTCATCAGCTTTTTCAACAATGAGAGCAAAGCTTTTCATCTCTGCTCTTAGATGCTGTACTGTACACTCCAGCCTATGGTGGTACCTGGTCCTTCTGTTCCCCTTTCTCTCCACATATACCTTAAAACTATCTCAGTTGATACCTATTTCTCATGTAGAAATAGGGTAGCAAATACCCTGGTGCCTTAAGTGACTTAAGTGATCTTCACATGAAAAATTATACAGAAACTGAAAAAAATTTTACTTCTGATAATTTGGTTATCTGGGATTTGTGGATCAGTATTTTCAAGTTACTCAGAGAAAATCTAAAAAGTCCTCCTTCAGAAAGCTTTGGAAAGTTTCAGTGAAGAGGGCAGGTACTGCCCAGAATGTCACTGCTTTTTAGAAAAGTCCTAGCGAACCAAGTAAAATCAGGAAAAATTTTTTTCAGAGGAGTTCTGATAAAACCCGGGTAGTCAGCATAGAGTGACTAGGGTGAAATGCCCAAACCATTGCCTCTCAACTGATCATCTTGATAAGGTTATGAAATCACAATTATGAAAGCAGCTCATTGTACTTTCACCAGAGAGGGCATAACCCTTCCACTTTTTCTAGAGCTGAGCTCCTCGTTCAGGAGTGGTTCAGTGGTTGGGCTGCAATATCTTTTCCAAAGAATGGGAATTGACATAGGAGGGAATGTACTCTTGAACGTGGGTCATTAAATTAACAGCTATGCCAGATTAAATGTAGGAGTTGGAGAAGCTTCCTCTGATTCTGATTTGATAAGGTGGTGGTTATTCGGGTTTTTTTTTAGTATACTGTTTTAACAGTAAAATTACAGAGCCTGATGATAATGTTGTCATTTCTTCTTCATACTTGAGGATATAAAATATGTTCACATTTTTTCCATTTCCTTTACAAAGAATTTTTCTCCATCTTTTCCTAGCTGTTTCTGGTTCTGTTGCCTACTTTTTCATACTGGCTTTCTGGCATTATAATTAGAAGCATTTATTACCAACATTCTTAGCAAATAGTAAATGTCTAATTTTTTCTTACTTACTTTAAATGTAGCTAAGTTGATGCTCACTATTCGGCGCTGCTTGAATGCCTGCATCCAGAAATCAATGAAAGAGAGTCTTAATGATAGTGAGGATGATGATGATGATGATGAAGAAGATGGAAGTGAAAAGGAGAACAGCAGTGTAAGAAAGTCCACTTTATGCTACATTCTGGGAACTTCTTTTCAGTGGTGCTTAATATGAGACAGAATATGACAGAAGTCTAAAGGAAAGGAAGGCCTTGGTCATCTGTGGAATTGGAAGGAGGGAACTGCCATTATTGGATTTTCATGTCCTGTGATAGCAGAAATTTGGTCAAGTAGCTAGAATAAGATAGAAGGAATATGAAGCATATTTTAAATTAATAGTTGCCTAATTCCAGTGCTGATTATAAATTGGTTTGGTTTTGTAGTTAAATTATTTTAAAAATTACCATTGCAAGATATGTGAAGTTAGAGAAAAACTGAATTGTGGAGTTCATGTTCTACAGCAACCACAATGCCTTTGTAAAGGGACTAGAAGGATTTTCAGTGGTTTTTAAAGTCTTATTTTAACTTAAATTTCTATTTGAGAATGTAATGGATAATATCATCTAAATGTTTGTACTTCAGGTGTTGGATAATGTGCTGTCAGTAAATGATGTGGCCAGCATGGCAAGTTTGTTGGAGATCACTGTAATACTCTGGAGAAGTATCCACAAAGCACTAGATCACAATGAAGATGCCAAAGATTATGCTATCAGGAAGTTTGCTTCTGTACTTCCTGAATATTTTAAAGTATTTCAGGTAAAGTAAGTCTAGATTTTCCTGTATAGTCTAAGTATTTTCTTCAGATGCTTTCATGTTTTATGTCTTTAATCTATTTTTATGGCATTAAGTATTCTTTTTCATTGTTGCTATAAACCACGAACAACAGCAAGTTTCTTGGAATCCCACAAATGGATGGAAACTATTCTCCAATTGCAGTGTCTGACTGATTATCTAAAGCACTATCTAAATATCTAAATTATTTAACTAGTCAGCTCAGAAATACTTGCTCTCCTTGTAAGGCTTTTGTAGGGTTTCATAGTTCTGAATGTTTTAGAACTTTTGGAAGACGGTAAATACAAATGTACCATTGCAGAATAAATACTCAGCATACATTAGAGTCCAGGTATTTTTCACTCCACTGTCCCCCCTCTTCCACCAGCAGCATTTCTTATGATTCAGCTGCAACTGAAGCAGCTGAGGCTCTTTTTTCACTGAATATGAGCTGGTAGAGTGCACTCACAGCCCAGAAAGCCAAACGTGTCCTGCTGATCTGCTGGAGTCCGAAAGATGGCCACCAAGATGGGGAGGGATGGAGCACTTCTCCTAAATGGAAAGGCTAAAAAAATTGGGATTGTTAAACCTGGGAAAGAGAAGACTTTGGGGTGACCTAATTGCAGTCTTCCAGTGCCTGAAGGGAGCCTGCAAGAAAGACAGAGAGGGACTTTTTACAAGGAAGTGTAGTGATAGGACAAGGGAGAATGGATTCAAACTAGAAGAAAGTAGGTTTAGATTAAATATTAGGAAGAAATTCTTTTTTGTGAGGGTAGTGAGACAATGTCACTGATTGTCCAGAGAAGCTGTGGATGCTTCATCCCTGGCAGTGTTCAACGCCAGGTTGGATGGGGCTTGGAACAACTTGGCTGAGTGGAATGTGTCCCTGCCCATGGCAGGCTGGTTGGAACAAGATGATCTATAAGGTCATTTCCAACCCAAACCATTCTGTGATTCTGAGGTTTCTGCCAATTTGAATCTACTCTCTAATGATCTGTTGATGCATTTATTTATTGCTTAGGTTTGATATAGGCAGTTAATTAAAATCAGTAATTTTCAAATTGTCAGTCTCCTTGCTCTAATTGTTTTAGTGTTATTCTTGAGGAGGGTGCCATCCTGAGAGTGGCTAATGGTGGCTGCTGCACCCAGAATGAATTTGGAAGGATTACATACTGGATATGTTTTTCTTACTTGATGGCTTTTATGCTGAAGTATCCTGAAATATGGTGGCTGTTCCACTGCAACTTTGCTTTAGATAATCAGGGAGTGAAAAGCAGCTCATTGCTACATATTATTCTGCAGCACAGATACACAAGCGCTCTCTACCCTGAAAGCATTTGGAAGTTGTCAAAGACATTCCAGATCTTTTTTGGTAGAGGATGTAGCATCCTTTCCGAAAGGATCTGGTGAACAGAGAAGATATCCAGCTTTAGCAAGCAACCTCTTTGACTTTGATATTCTTACAGTGAGTAAACAGCTTGGATCTAAAAGGACCTGTTATCAGAGGCTTAGTTCCTAAAAGACTACAAACATACTGAAGCAGCCTGTCTCTTTCCTGAAAAAACTACAAATGTATTTTAAAACTTCTTTTAAAAATATGAGCTTTAAAAAAGGTTTTAGATCTTGGAATGGCTAAGTAGGTAATGATTTCATGTGGCTGTTTTCATTTTCGAAGAGTTCTTAACATAGATTGGTTTTTATATAACCTGAGGGAGATTATGTTGTGGCCTAGACCATGTATTATGACATGTTGTAATGAATAATAATGCATTAAACGTTACCATCCTTATATAAGAACCCTTTTCTTTAGAATCTTTTTAATAAGTTTGTGATGTGAATGAATTTAAGGCACTTGTTGAAAGGAGTTAGATAGTGTCATGGTTGTGCAATTAAACCTTAGTCACTACTGGAAAAAAAAGTGATGTGGAGCTGCTGTTTCTTTTGCAAAGATTATTAACCTAATGGAGCCATGACTATTCATAGTAGTTATTCTGGCAGTTTGTCAGAAAATTAAGGATAATTGGTAATTGATCTCCAAAAACAGGAATCAGGCATTTCAGATTGCAAGCCACATACTCTTTTGAGCTTCTTTCAGCTCCATATGTAGTGAGAAAGGGAAATCCTTAATTTGAGGAAATGCAATCATAGTTTTTCAGTACTCTCTTTAGTTTTGCTTACATGTGTGTACCTTTACATTTATGTCATACAGTGTAATTCTTCCATCCTAGGATGAGCGGTGCATGACTCCATTGGTTATTCTGGCATCCTTTATGCCCCCTGCTGCTATTCCTACATTCAGGTACTATTTGGAAATTCAAAATGCAAATGACAAGAAATTTCTTGTTGACTGTATATGTTCATTTTTCACAATCTGATATGTTAAATGCCCATTTGGATAAATTAAGACACTAAAAAAACTGTGGTAAGTCAGTAAAATTTGTGATGTTCAAGTCTGTCGAAGTCGTTGGTGAATCCTTTGTTTGTATTATACTAATTGTTTTCTGCACCTATGGGTGTAATATATCTCTTTATCTTTCTGTTTTCTTTTCAGCTGTGGTGTGGTTTCCAGACTCAGAAATACTGACACTGGAGCTGACCAAAGCAAATACTCTGTCCTGGTTGACTGCCTGTGCAGCTGGGGTCAAGTGGGGCACGTCATGGAATTAGCCTGCGACTGGCTGGCTGACTCTCTCACCCCTACAAAGGTGTGCATATGCATATGACAGGGAGTATAGGAATTGCCAGACTGCTTTAAGGCATCAAGCTTTTTTCAAATAGAATAAGGCTTTTTAATGCTATACTGTTCTGCTTTGAAATCAGTTCTCAAATCAAATACTAACAGAGTTGTACTGGTTTTGTGCTTCCTTCCTATTCAGAATACTAGAACATCTAAGCATCGAGTACGTATCCAAGTAACACATGAATCAAAGCCCGACTTAGCAATTGATTACATTGAGTATTTATTGACTCATCCTGTCAATCGTGGTTGCCTCCTTTCTGTTCCTAAAAAGAAACTGAAGAAGCTTTTGAAGATCCTCGGTGCTGCAAAGGTAGTTTCCTCCTTATCATTAAACATTGCTTATAAAATCAATGCTTAATATCATATATTGCCTGAGTCAAACTAAAGGCCTGGGGCAACAAATAAATAAGGTTCATAATCCCCTTTTCCTATTTAAAAAGATTTTCCTTTTGATTTGTACTTCCAAGAAATAATTTAAACTAGTAGTAGTTAGAAATTTTTTTATTGATGGCAGATTTTAACCAGCTTCTCAGTTTTAAGTGTCTCGAAATTTTTGTGATGTAGTGTTGAGTGTTTTTACAGGATATGACTTTTAGAATATGTGAATAAGGAATAGTCTGAAAATCAGTTACAGCATTGCAAAATGGAAGTAATTAAAGTATGCTTATTGCTTTTTGGGGGTCGGTGTTTTGCTGTTTTTATGGGTTTGGGGTTTTTTTAACCTTTTGTTTAAAGTTGTTGAGGAAAGAAACATTTGAAAGGATTTTCTGAAAATATAGATGTAAACCTTGATATTTCAGAGGGTTCTTAACTCAATTCTGAAAGGAACGGATTCTGGTGGCTGGAATCAAGCAACTAGCCTAAGAGCCTTCAGCCTCTTTTGCAGACTGAGTATTCATCTTCAGGACAAGGTATGGTTATAGCTCTCTAAAAGAAGCTGGAGTTACAGTTGACAGGATAAGGAAATTCCAAGACAATTGGTAAACTTCCCTTTGTTTTTTTTTCAGTTTTCTGAAGAAGGAGAAGATTACCTTTCACTTCTGAAGGAGACGGGTGCTTGGATAGAAAATCAAGTTGTACCTTTTATACTAGCAAGTGATCGAGAGGATTGTGTTTCAAAACACAGTGATGTTTCTGAATTAATTATCCAGGTTAGAGGATTCTTACAGTATAAATCAAGCTGCTCTCAGTTTGAAACCTGTAGATATAGCAATCTGTATGCAGACAAACAGCACTGGCATTTGTGTCATCACTTACAGTGTCCCTTACCCCTGATCTTGATTTGCCCTTCAAGGAAAGCATTTGATGATATAATGTGGGTCAGGTTTTAGCTAGTTCTGAATTGTTTTCTGTTGCATTCCTCTCACATTACATTTAACGCAAGGTGGATTTTAGCACTGAGCTTTTACCAGATTTTGGTGATAGGAAAGATTTGGCTAACTTTGGTCCCAGTCAGTGTCCTTGAACAACCCAGCTCACATATACACAGACTGATTAAAAGTTCTCACTCTTTCTGTACTTCTATCTCATAATCTGTTTAGTATGTAGCAACTGTTTGTCTGTAGGGAAAAGCTCTTTTTGTCTGCTGGTTTTAGTTTTGCTATTAAAGGCAGGTAGATATGTCATATTTTGCCTCAGTAAATGGTAAGTATCAAAGCCTTTGATGTACTAGACTGAGCCTGAGTATAAAAGAGAATTTTACTGCCTTTTGAGAAACTTTACTGTTGGGAAAGGGCAATGGAAGCATTTGAAGGACTGGTTGGAATTCATGCTTTTCAGCAGGTGTGAACTGAGTAACTCCAGTTAGGTACACCAGCTCTCAGGGCACCTTGACGAAGAGTTCATGGTTTTATTATTTTTGAGTTTTACTGAATAGTTACTTTGCATAAAGTTTGGGTTTCCTATAATTTTGTACCTCTCTTCTAGGCCTACCTGACCGTGTGTAAAGATGTCATAATGGTGGGCCTGGGAAATCTCTCGTTTCAAGCACACCTTTTAGAAATGGCTCTTCTGATTATGCAAACAGGTATCCTATTTTGGTACTAATAACAATATCTGCATTTAGACTTAGCTGACTTTTCTTGTGTTAGCAAGTTGGTTGATCCCTAACTTTTGAGAGTTGGATGGAACACTGGATTCATACTTAAAATATTAATTGGACTGTATGAAAATTTTAGCTAAGGGTGCTCAGAAAATAAATGCATTGTCTACACTTTGTAAACTATCACTATTTGTTGTATCCAACTGAGTTTCATTCTAAGCTTGTACCTGATGAATATTACAACTTTTATATTGTGGTATTTATCTCTTTTTCTAGGGAGAGGTGGCTTTTGTGCTCCAGTGTTGCTGTGTGTTCTAAAAGAAATCATTGAAGCTTCTTTAAATCAGAATACTGAGACAGAGGAAGTGACAAATCTTTTCCACGCTCTACAGAACATCTTTCAGAAAATTTTAGAGTGTGTGGCACAGGGACTTAGGAAAGAACAGGAAAAAGGGATTCAGGTATCGTATTACAGTTCAAATGGCTACATTATTGCTAATGTGTAGATGAATCCATAATTTTTTATGCAAAGGGGGATACTTAGCGACTATGAGGTTGTTACCTCACTATTACCTAGTGATTGGGTAGATATATGATTAAATTTTCTAAGTTTTCTTGTTACCAATTTTTTTGTCCATTTTGGTCTCATCATCACAGAAGAACTAGTAAATTGCAAAACAAATGCATTCTGTTGCCAATAACCCTGCATCATGCTGGAACTTCTGGGTTGTTAATATTGTCTGCAATTAGATGAACTTCCTCAATCCAGACCAAAGGATTTGTTTATATATATTACGATTTTGGCAGGACAAGAAATTTTCTTGGTTTGTTTTTTTTTTTTTTTTTAGCCTGAATGATGCCAACTTCAAAATAGATCTGATGTTCTAAAATTCTTGAAAATCTCGCATCTTCACAGAACAGTTGATTTCTTGTATTTTAAAGCAGATACTAAATAGTAGTGAAATGGGTGGATCACTCTGGGAAATTTGATGATCTACTTTTCAGAACTTACGAAAAAGAACTGAATGTTTTTCAGAAGAATCACTGCTTTGTTCCTTTCTCTCAAATTTATGAGTAGACTTCCCAGTTGCTGATTCCCCCTTTGATCCTGAGTGACTAGAATACCTCAAAAGCTTTCAAGGTGTGGTCTGCACTTCACAGAAAGGCTTGCTGGTATATTTCAGTTATACTCAAGCAATCTGAAAAAAAAGATGTGTTTTTCCTTTTGGTTTTAGTTGATTCAGTCTATTCAAATGCCTCTTGGAGAATTCATCCATACACTGCAGTGCTGGCATTCCTCATTCCCAGCAGTTCACCAGGGTGTACTCTCCACTCTCTTGGCTGCAATAGTAGCAGAGATAAATTGTGTGCTACAGAAGGTAAAGTTAATCCTGATTTTCTTTTTTCTATTTAACACTTTCCGCTTTTTAAATGTTATGTTGGAACGACAGAGCTTTAATCAGAAAATTGATCTTTGTACTGCAGATGAGGATTTGTGTTGGCATGAAACAAACAGGAAATTTTATTTGCTATAATTTCATATTAGAATTCATCTCTCGGATTTCTGGCTACAGGTATGTAGGGAGAGACTTGTCCTGATACTCATTTTAGTATCTGCCTCCGACAGGAGAACTTAGCAATGCTGGCGATTAACAATGTGAGTTCTGGAATATTTCCTCTGTGCTTTTGTACTGGATCTGGCTGGGCAGGAGTTGCCTCCCTGCTGTCCCCGTGCTGCTGTGGTTGCCATTTGTGGGCAAGAGACGCTGCTGAGGACACACTGTTGCTGAGCAGTGCTTGCAGAGTGTCAATGTTTCCCTGGTTCCTTCACCTCCGCTCTAAAAAAAAGCCAGACTGTGGGCAAGAGGCTGCGAGGGGACACAGCCCAGACCTTGGACCCAAACTGATCAAAGGTTTAGGCCACACCATGCAATGCAGGGTTCAGCAATTAGAGCTCAGGGAAAGGAGGAGGACAGGGGCTTGTTCTAAACCTACCCCACTTCCTCTCACCCGGCATTAGGCAACTTTAGAAGTCTAATGTGTGACAGATTCCCATTCCCTATTTTTGGGGACCATAAGGTTCTGTAGTCCCTGTTTCAAAGCAGACTGATGCCCTGCTTGGCTCTAATCACTTGTACATTCTCTGCTTCCATACAGAGACATTTCACATGCTGCATCTTTTTTTAGTTGCTTTATTTTTGTGCAGAGAATTTCCAAACATCTGATTTGCACTGCTTTGGGAAGTAAAGAAAGAATCTCTAATACTGAAAAAAATGTGTAGACGCAGGTTATTTGATATTCTGAAAGTCCAAGGAACCACAATTGCCCTTGAAGAAGGGTAATATTCTCACCTCATTTTTCTAAAGCAGGTAGTGCTAGAAGTAAATATGATTAATAAGATTGGAAGCTTTGAGGACTAAAAAAGAAGAGCAAAGGCTCTTTAGTAGAGACAGTACTTTTGCTGTGGGTTCAGACGCAGAGCAAGAAGCAGTGGCCAGAAAGTACCACGGAGCAGCTTCCAAGGTTGTGTTAGAGGAGGCACTGAAGGAGTGCCAGCTGTTTGCCTGCAGATATTGATGTATCGGCTGAGGGGCTGTGGGTGACAGGTGCTCTTCACACGTGATGCACAGGAAACATTTCTGGGCTTGGATACACTGGAGATTCATACTCATAGATTGAGTGTTCATTCCAGTCACTCATCTGAGCTCAGGTTTTCCCTGCCCCCAAGTTGTTGTAAATCAAAATTCAATTCTAACTAAATATTTGTCATACTATTCAGAACTTGGTACCAAAAAGAGCAGCTATCCAGAAAATCACTGTCACCTGAGTTGCATTTAGAAATCACGGATGCACCCTTCGATTTGGAGCCACAGAGGGGACTCATTTGTGTTTAATAGTCTGTGCCTTTATAAAGAGTGACCACCAGTGTAGTTAAGTGAAATTTCTGGTGGAAGCAACTGCAGAGAATATTTGCCTTGGTACAAATACTGTTTATGTGGTTTAGTTTCAGTCTTTCTAATTTAAATTAGTTTTATTTATTTGGACACAACACAGTTGGATTAAAGCTATTCAAAGAATATTTGTGAGTGTTCTAATTATTTAAGGGTAGGTCCTGGTTAGTGTGATTATTGAAATACAATATTTTGCATACATATCTTTCTTGAGCTAGAAGGGTTGTTGACTTTTTTCTTTTTTAGGTTTCCAGTGAAGAAGATTTGACCATGCCAAAGACTATTTCAGACCTTCCCCCTCTTTCAAGCTGTTTAATGACTGTAATTACAAAGTCAGTTAATGTTGTCAGGTAAATGTTTCTATATTAATTTTTCCAAGGCTTTTGCTAATATAAAACAGTTTATATGTTGTCAATAAAATTTTACTTTCTAAATTAAAATAAATTTCGAATAACTAGTTGCTTTCTAAATTTATCTGGACTATTTAATAATCCCTTTTTCTTGACATGTTGCCTGTAGGTATTGATTGCTGGGGTTGAGTCCATTTTTTTAACCAAGAGTGCTTCTTATTTACAAGACTCTTAATCATGATAAGTTTTTTAATCATACATTTTGGCTTGCTTCTTTCATAAGATACTTGTAAAGCTGAGCCCCCTCAACACAAAGATGTTAAGATGAGATAAAATATTTGCCAGAAATAAAATTAATCCTTTAGCTGAACATCTCCAATGAGGTGACATATACCTATGGCTGTATTAAAGTCACGACATTAAAAATAGAAAGTATCAGAGTGCTGAAAGCCGCCAAAAGTGAGCTTATGTTATTTGTTTTTTAAAACTTAAACTGGGAGGGGGGAGGGTATTTGCTCTATTCAGTGGTGGCCCTGAATGTATTCTAAAATTATTACAACTGAATTTTATTTTGCCTAGTTTGTTTATATTCGATTCTTCTTAATGTGTCTGTACACACTAGACTTGTTTTAAATTGTAAAGGAGCTTGGAAGTCCATAGCTCTCCCTGACTTACCACAGCTAATTCCTCTTCTTAACTTCCTCGTCTGACAAGCACTGAATATCCCTGGCTCTGCTGTCATGAAGTGTTCTTTTTCTTCTCAATCCTTCTCTAATTCTAGTTGAACTTGCAAAACAAAAAGCTCCAGAGACTCCAGCAACAGTCCAACTAATCCAAATCTTGCTCTTCCATGAGGCAGCAGCTCTCCATCAAGGTGTTCTCTTCTAGTGAAACAATTATTTTACTCATCTCTTTTCAAAAGAGATGCAGAAAATCAGCTAATTCTTTTGAAACTTTTTCTTGTAGTAATCAAGGTGAATCTTGTCCATTCTTGGTGGAGGAAACTGCAAGTTTAGGCCAAATTGTTTCTAAGTACTTGGGAAAAAAATGTATCTTCTAATATTTATCTTTTTGGGGCAAAGATTGTGATAATTACCATCTGGTTCTACTGGTGCCTCAGAATTGAGACTACTTTTAAAGCTCTTTTATAAATCTGTATTGATAGGTCATAATCAGAGTCCAGTAATAAATCATTCAGTATTTCAGAAATTTTTATGGCAACATGAAAGCCTTTGACATTATGAAATCTGATGTGAGCTTCTGCTCTGTGAGCTCACAGTCATCTTGCTCTGAGTTCTGCAGAAAATCTGTTTTATTTTCAGTCAGTTTCTAGCACTGAATTTCAATCCCCATAGCAGTGATAATACTGGGAGGCTTGGCAATATCTGTCCAATTGTATGAGCATCCTTCATTTTAGTAGGGAGCTATCTGTATAGGAACCAGTTACTTACCTCTGAGCCTTATATGTATTTTTAAATAGCTTATTGTTCTATTCTATTTTATCTTTGCCTGCAGGCTCATGTGACCCTTTCTCAGAGGGAGGTGGGGAAAGGCAGCTGCAGTGAGTCTTGTTACAGGTTAATGAAATTCCAGTGTTCCTCCATGGAGGTTAAGAGTGTGCTTAGTGACCCAAACAATGATAACAACGAAGTCAGCGCTCTGATCCCAGTACTGTCCATTAGCAATTTAAGAGCAAGGTGAAATGGAATCAATGCTTGGTCACATTAGTCCACAATGATACAATGAAACTGATGCAATGCATGAGCAACTTCATAATGCTTATTTCTGAAGCTAAAGATTTTTCATCTTTCTCAGCTCTTAGAAGCAATATTTGAATTTCTGCAAAACGTTTTTACTGAATTGGTTCTTAACTGCATATTTCATTTTGATGTCTTAGCACAATAAAAGCCTGAAGAACAATTGAAGTCAGAACTGGCAATGTATGATGATCAATTTTCATAACAGATAATAATATTGTTAGAGGTATTTTGAAATATGTTAGGGAAAGTTACTGTAACATTGCTGCTCTCAGTTTCCCCTTTAGTTCTTTACAGAGCCTTTAGCTTTGTGCTCTGAGGAGTATCAGGATTATGGATCTCTTCCATCTCCTGTTTTATCCCTCTTGTTCTTCTGTTTTTCGCTGGTTTTGAGAATTGCTTCTGAGTTAAGTTTGGGATTTTTACCACAAACACTAATGACCAGTTACTGTTTCCATTCTGTGCTGTTGATTTACTCCCTATTGCAGTTTAGTTTGGTTGCTAGACCCTATCTGTGACTATCATTTCATTTTTCTTACCTTGACATATATCCCAAAACACCACTAGAGTTTGCTAGTAGTACTTTCATCTCTTGCTAGAAGTGACAAAATCTCTTAAGATCCATACTGAGTGAGTATTTTACAAGGAGCTGCTGTCATGCTTCTGTTATCCTGTCCATAGTTTCACTAACTAAAATGTTGCTTGGAAGTGTTTCAGGGCACTGTGTAGTTAAAAATCATCTTCACTGGGTCGTAATTGGAAAATTTTAATTTTCTAATTTTTTCCTATTTTAATGTTTATGAGAAACACATTTAAGGTCAAGATGTTAATTAAGCCTGAGTAGGTACTAGCAAACCAACAGAGTCATAGAATATATTTTTTCAAACTTCAGTAGAAATTCGAGTTTAAAATTTCAGTACAAATTCTGTGAATTAAATTCCAGTAAATCAGTAGTTTTTTCACGGATTGACTGTCCTAAAATACACCACAAGCTCTTCACTTCTCTTAATACCACTTTTTCTCTTTGCAGACTTTATTGTCTCCCCAAGCAATTTATCATGCTTTGATATTCTCAGTTCAGAGGCAGCACATAGTTTTCAGTTACCCAGTCACACTGCTTTGTCCTGCATGGTATCTTTGAAGCTGTGGTGGCAGGGTAGCATAATGACAAACATGTTCTGTTCAGTTTTATTTTGAAATAAATATGGTTTATAATAAATTTTTTTTTATTTTTTTCCTTAGGTCAATTTTAAATGAATTAATGGAGTGCATTCTCTCTGAAGAAATTGAAGGGATTTTTAGTCTAACAGCTACTGTCTGCATTGTGATTATAATTAAAGGTCAGTAAAAATATTTTTGTCCTTTTTCCATCTTTCTTTTTATGTACTACATTGAAATACACAGTAGTTAATCCTGGACAGTGAAAATCCAATTTAATATCTAATCTTCCATTAAGTAATCTTTTATGTTTAAAGTTATTCTATGAAAATCTGGAAGAGTGGGGGTTATTTTTATGATAAATTATTTTTGTCCAACATTTCAATTCATTTCAAATAGGTAAGCACAAAACTTCACTTCTAAAGGATATTGCACCTGCCATTCAAAGGAGACTGATAATATGCAAGGATGCTGCCACAGGAGAATCCAGCAGCACTGAAAGGTGGGTGTGCTGTGGGAAAGGAGCACTGAGCTCTCCTATCCCCTCTCTGCAATAATTGGCTCTATTCTGTACTTACATAACACTGTTAGAGTGTTCTGAGTGATTGATTGCAAGATTTAAAATACTGGGGGTGGGGGGGAGAGTGGGAGGTATTGAGCCCAGCACAGTATTAAATTTCCTGCCCTTATATCTGCTGTGATTGTAATCTTTACATATTTAGCTTTGGGCTTTTTTCATTTAATTTGAATGTGTTATCACTTGGTCCCGTATATTGCAGGATTCACTTCTGAAATCCAGGTCTGTTTGCAACAGGGGTAGAACAAAGCAAGTATTCCAGTTACTATTTCTCATTACTAGGAGATTTTTCTCCCACACTTTGGCACTGGGCATATGAATCCAAACCTATGCAGGCACTAAAAATTTAACTGGATATAATAATGACTTTGAGACCTTTCCACAGATGATTTTATTTTGCTCTTTTTGTTGAGGGGGATTTCAAGTGTCATATCTGGTGTATCTTTTGTGAAAAGTTTTTTGAAAGTTATTGGCTGCATTATGTTTGCAGTCAGTTTTCTCAGGCCTATCTAGAGAATCATGATGAATGCTTTAGCCTTTAGATCTCAAACTTGCTTAAGTCTTGAAACTTGTGAACATCTGATTTCTGCCTAGTTACTGAACTGCTCATGGAACCAAAAAGTTGTCAAAGAAACATTTTAAGCACAAATACAGAATGTGAAGAAACCAGACTGAGGTTATGGACATTAATCCCAAACTTCTGAGAACGTTTGTAATGCACCACAGAGGCATGAACATGCAGAGGTCCTTGCAGTCTTTCATTCTTACAAACCAGTGATCCTTACTATTCAGTCAAACAATGGGTGTAGACAGACTTCAAAATAAAATTTTAAAAAAGACTCACAAACAATCCAAAAAGCCCATTGTATAGAAACCTCATTGTACAGGAGCTTCATTTACTCAACAATTTCTTGCACAGCTCTCCCAGCCTGAGCACACTTCCCCAGTGTGCTCTTCTCGTGGATCCCTGGCCTGAGGAATGTTGTTCTCTGGCATTTTAGTGACTTGGCACAGACACTGGTGGCTGAGCTGTGCCTCCATCCAGAGGATGGTGCTCTGGGGTCCCTTCTGCAACCTGAAAGAGGCCTGCAGGAAAGCTGGAGAGTTGCTTGGCTGTGAACAAAATGTCCTTTGGTCAGGACCTAGCTTACAAACAAAATCAAACACAAATAAACAGAACCCCATTCTTTTCCACATGAAAGTATTTTATGATGGGTTGCCAAGTGTCCTACTAGAATATTTTAACAATAATAATAATAATTATCTGGAAAAGAAGGAGAGTGGCAGGGTATCATGTTTCAGTTTGCACTTCTAATCAAGATAGTAGAAAAAGCTGTGAAATTAAAGTGAATCTTAACATGATTAAATAAATAGGCACATTAAAATGAATAATTGCTGCCACTTGAGAGCACTAGTGACTATAAATTTCAGTGAGAACACAGATAATTGCTTTATGAATCTATATGATTGTCTCTGCCCAGTGAACTGGGACAAATCAACCTGCATGTTGGGGCAGATGAAGAGTATAAGATGCTACACAGTGTTTTAATTTTGTGATATGTGAGTGGCTACCTTTGTATAATACCAACCCAGGAGACAGTTGAAGACAAAATTCAAGGGTTAGAGATATGAATATGATAATGGGAAAATTTTTTCTATGAATTGGAATTGCACTGTGATAAAATTCAGAAGCTATCACATAGCTTTGCAGAATTTGGGGGGATTCATATCTGCACAGTTATGTTGGGGAATTTTCCTCTCCAGAAGGGTAACATAATTGATGCTGGAAAGAGGTGGAGGAAGTTCTGCAGTGATTAGGTTTTGCATGATGAATTAAAGTGTATTTGCAGTCTCACAGCTAAGACAGAACGTCAGACTAGGCTGGGTCTCTGGTGGCTTCTGGTGTGCCATTTTTTAGTGCTCTGCTGCTTGTGTGCTAATGTACAGCTAAATGTGATTATACATGGTCTAAAGCATGCCCTGTTGTTTGTAAACTATTTTATCATCCTACTCTGCTTACCAAACACCAAATTTTACTTATGGTATGCTGCAAGCTAGATCTCTGGTCATTAATTTGAAGACAGTCCTCTAACACACAAAAGCACATTACTGGGCTTTAACTCCTTCTCAATATTACTATTTTTTGCTTCTGAAAGCATTATCTCTTAATAACTCCTTGAGGGATTATTTTATTCAATACCCAGGTATACCAGGAAATGGTGACATTCTTTAATTTCCCAAGAGAACTGGCATTCTGTGCCAGCATCTTAACTTCAGACTTAGGAGTAATCTCTTACATATTAGCAATGAAAGAAAAAAGTAAAAAAGCTGTTTGGTGTGGTAATTAAGGTGCTGCCCTTATACAAGGAATTATTGCACTAATTCAGAAGCAAAACTTTTCACTGCAATTTACTCTTCCCTCTTCAGCTGAGTTAGTGGTTTCAGATGGTCCTATGGGTCTGTATTTTAAAAATGCTATTTAGTGCATATAAAAATTCTGGACAAGATACTGTATATTGAGAGAATTTCCTCAAGAGTAATGGCACACATATTAGTTTAGTTTATAAAATGCAAATATTTATGCCTAACAAAAAATGCAGATAAAGCTGTCAATTCAGTCATTTGGAGGACAGAGAAAAATGTCTCACATTCTGTAGAACTTAATGTGCTATAGGGTAATAACTTTTACTTAATACTGTGTATTTACTTTATTTAGCATTTTGATATATGAGTATTAGAATTTAAATTTAGCTAATGGCTGTGCTGAAAGATATTTCTTTAGTATTATATTTAGCCAGCTCCCAAATTCTTAATTGCACTTTCATTGCATGTGTAAATTACGGCTCTTGAATTGTTTTGGTGTATAATGTTGGGTATGATTTCTCTGCTTCCATCTTTAAGTTCCCTAGCAAGGTACTTGGTAAAACTGACTTCAGCTTTTCTGCTTGGGAGGAGAACAGTTTTCCCAATTGATGGCTTTTGGCCAATGTGCCAATGGTCCCACATTACAAATTCATTGTTTTTTTAGCCTTAAACTGTAAAGAAATAAAATTTATACAAAGCAGCATTGTGCCTCGGCCCACAGGACTTAACTAATTATCCTAATTCTGTAGTGCCTTGTAACACTACCTTACTTTGACAGTGGAGTTTCATCCTGGCTTAAAGGCTGTGGCACTGTGGAGAGGAGTGTGAGACTGGAGATTAGAGTCAGAACGGGACTAAGAGGAGTGTGAGGGCAGCTGCTGATAAGGATAAGATAGAAAGCTCAGGTTTGGAAAAAAGTTGCCACAGGTGAGAAGAAAAATTGTGAAGAGTGAGGGAGAAATGAGTAAAGTAAAAGAATGAAAAGTGGTCTTGGAATAAATTACCTGTAAAGGATTTCACTGTTTTGTTTGAACAAAAAAGTAACAATGCTGTGCAGGAAACGAGTGGCTTCTTTAAGGAGATGATTAAATATTAGAAAATGTGCTTAAATTGACATAGTGATTTAAACTGATTTGCTGTTGGTTATTCTAGAGACAGATGATCAGCAGGAAAAGGGAAAAGTTGAAAGAAAAAGAATCCATCTATTTCAAAAGTAATTTGTAAAGGCATTTTAATAAACTAATATGGACTAACTGGTCAAAGAAATCATGTGGTAGCTGTGCTCTGAGAATCAAATAGTTGAGGATTGATTTGGCATTTAGCATTTCTAATTCTGTTATGCATTGTTTTATGGCATTTCAGATTGCTGTGTGAATCATCTCTGAAAATTTTGGATGAGTTTTTGAATCCTTGACCACGCAGAAGCTTTTGTCGTGAAAACTGAGGGAAGATGTATTGCTTTTTGAAAAACGTACCTTGTAAACTTGTGAATTGTTTAAGATTGTTTTCTATTACTCTGTACATTTCAAGCAAGCAAATTGTATAAAAGTGTATATAGAAATTACATAATAGTAAATATTTTTCAACAGCTACAGAGGTTATTCTGTATAAAAATGTCTTCTTGGGGGGAATGTAAAATCAGTATTTTTTATCTTTGTTTTTGTAAAACAAATAATAATTGTATCATAGATACTTTTGAGACTGAGGTCACACGTAACCCTGGGAGGACTAGAGCATATTCCTAGGGGTTATGGAAATTAATCTTATTCTGAGATATGTGAGGGTCAAAAGGGTGATTGGGAATAGCCATCATGGCTTTACCAGGGGCAAACTCTGCCTGGCCAGCCTGATTTCCTTCCCTTTGGTAGAAGAAGAGAGAGCACTGCAGGTCCTGTTTCCTATCCTTGGCAAAGATATTTACACAGTCTTATACAGTATCCTTACAGCCAAACTGGAGAGAGATGGGATGGATAGGTATGAAAAGAGGAGTGGGAAACTAGCTGGAGCATCAGTGGAAGAATAATCTGCTAAGGGATGAGGTTGGCAGCTGTGGCTGTGGCACTGCTGAGGGCAGGCCCTGCTGCCAGGGCTGGTTGGTTGACAGGGTGAGCAGCAGCCTCGGACTGATGGCAGATGACAGCAGCTGGGAGCCACAGCTGGCACCAAGGGGCATCTCCTGATGTTCAGAGACCTGGACCTGATGGACAAATCCTGCACCACCGACAGGCACCTGCATGAGGGCAGCTTCTTGCTGCCTCACCTGCCTGCAGGAGGATAAAGGCAAGACTTTCCTCAGAGATGAATGGAGGAGAATGTGAGGCTACAGAAACAATTTCAGCAAGACAAGTTCTTGTTGGACATGAAAAACAATCATTAGGAGAGTGAATTGGAGCTGGAAATGGAACTGGAAGAGGTTGCTCAGAAAGCCTGTGGAATACCCGTCCTTGGAGGTGTGCAGAACTTGGCTGACAAGAAGTGCTCTGACCTTCCATGGTGTCACAGCTTTGGAGTTAGCCCTGCTGAGCTTGGGTTTGGACCAGATTCTCCTCTGAGTTTCCTCATAACTTGAATATTCAGGTGATTCAATACCCAGTACACTGAGGGGAAATGTCTTAAGTATTAAACACAGACTTGAGTAATATATAATTTTTTTTATATTTAGCTATTTTTAAAAATGATAGCTGTTTTGATAAGTTATTACTAATGGTGCAGGTATTGCAGGCATCTAAGCCACTTAATTTTCTTCATGCAACCAGATGTTCTCCCAAGACTAATAGAATGCTGATTGCACAATGTTATTTTGCTTTAATGGAGATACCTGTAATGTAAATTACCTGTCTGAGCTCATTAAGTGGTTTAAGCTCAGCCAGCAGCCAAGCACCACTCAGCTGTTCCCTCACCGCTTCCACCCATTCGGACATGGGGGCAGGACTGAAAGGGTACAAGTCAAAAAGAAACAGTTGAATAATTAAGAAAAAATAATAGTACTTTTTCAAATTGTGAGAAAAAGAGATAAGAGGAGAGGGAAAATAAATGACTCAGCCAGTCCCTGGGCAGTGCCCTCCCCACAGCCTCCCCCCAGTTTATTGCTGAGCATGGTGCCATATGGTGTGAGATATCCCTTTGGTCACTTGGGGTTCCCTGTCCACACTCCTGGTGCACTCCCAGCCTCCTTAGGAGTGGGGTGAGAAGCAGAGAGGCCATGTAAGCCCTGCTCAGCAATAGCTGAAACATCCCTGTGTTACCAGCACTGTCTCCAGCACAAATCCAAAATACAGCCCTATATCAGCTACTCTGAAGGAATTTATCTCAGGCAGAACCACAGCTCCTGATGCTTTAGTTTTGTCCGGTTTAGGAGATTTAATAGGAACGATTCAGCCACAAACCAGAGTCGCATCCTCCAGCTTAGGCCTGGAGACCTGGACATGTAGCACTTGGTTATCTCCAGTCCAGTGCAGTGATTCTCAGGGTGGGCCTGTACAAATGGCTATTGAGTCTCCAGTGTTAATGACTGGCACTGACACTGAAGTTAACCAATTTGGCTAAAGTAAGACAGGCTCTTCATTCTTGATTAAGATTTGTGCAAAAGCTGTACCTCCCATCTGTCTAAACAAACATCTACTCGGCTGTTTTTCTTTCTGTGCTAAGAGACTGTAAAGTTTCTTTCAATATCTGCTGTCAGTGCAAACATCAGACCCATACTTGACCTTGGTACATAAAACTTCCCTACTGGATAAAACCTGTTTTAGCTGGAATGTTGATATTTAAAAACAATGCTGTTCTTAATGAACAACTGGCAAGCTTTGCAACAGGATAGTCAGTGTGTGCATGGATTTATGAGTTCCAGATTCACCTCATCCACAACAGTGGCCTGACCAAAGGAACTAATGCTGCCCCAGCAGGTATCTGCAGATCTGCCAACTGTTTATCTATCAACATCTTTATAAAAACTGTGTTCTTTGGCCTTCATTCTTCTACATCTGTTAACAGGCAGGTGTTCCGGTAATGACCTTTTAAATCTTCTGATTATACAAATTACTCAATGAATATGTAAATAAGTTTCTTTTTTCTGCCTCTCAGTATTTGCTCATATCATTAGATTAGAAAATAATCCAAATTTACTGCCTTGTTTTTCCTCACTGTATAATTTTGCTTTTTTTCATGGAATTTATGGTACAGATGCAATAGCCCTGTGCCTGAAGGAAATAAAGGTCATTCCATCAACATCAGAAATATGTGTATTTCCTTTGAAGAGCTCAGAGGTGATACTGCTAGGAAGGGTAAAAAATTTGAAGATAAACCTCTGTCTTCCTGGTGGCTGGTACTCAAGGGGTTCTTAAGAGGTTTGAATAATTTTCTGTTAGTCCTGCAGCTGGTGAACATGTTTCAGTTTCTAGTCTGGCTCTACTAAACTGCTTTGCCATGAAAAAACATTGGCTTTCCACAACACAAATAATGGTGTTGGGATTCCTTGAGCCAAGGTTTACCTAGGCTTTCTCCTTAGGCCTTTGTGGCAAATTTCACAAGAATATTGGAGGAGTTCTATGTTTCACTTGCTGTTCTCATTGTAAACTTCGGTCTTGCAAGAATTTAAATCTACATTCTCCTTCTGTTTGGAAGATACAAATATATAGGACATTTCTTAAGCTGTTATGTTTTGTGAACCTGTAAAACAGATTTGTTTCATCTTATTAATCAAAAGTGCTGTTGGGGAAGAGGTGTTGTTCTTTGGGTAGGTTTGAAAACTTCTCTTAATCTTGAGACAGACCCTTTCAGATCTCTTCAGCTTTTTGAAGACGTTGAACCTGACTTTGATTAATACAATTCCTTGAAATATGAGCAAGAAAACACCAGTTTGTGACACTCTTTTGGGCAACTGGCACTGGCAGGTGCTGGTAATGAAGAGCTGCCCAGAGAAGAAACATTCTGGTCACAGTTGTACCTGTGAGTGCCATGGCTGGAGCTCTTCCCTTTGTGCATATGCATTCAGGATCAGTGAGACTAAAGAAAGCGATAACTTTAAACTATTTTCAGTAATCAACGTTGTTTATAAGGACTTGGGCCCTTTTTGTAATGACAACGTTCATTCGCTTTGTTCTCTGGATGGGAAACAAAGCCCAGCATCTGCCACCTATCACAGCTTCAACTTGTGAGCTAAGGAAAAGCCAGGAGAAATTCTCAAGCTTCTTCCTTAGCAAATAAATGTCTTCAGCTATGGATCCAAGCACCCAAAACTTCAGAATACCAGGGAAGTTAAAAAAATCCACCTTGCACCTGCTGGTTACTCACTGAGAGCTGCAACTCATTTTAAACTCCCGTGTGCTGCTGCCCTCAAGTGTTCTGAGGTCTTCTGATTTTCAGAAGGAAATCAGACTAATTCTGACAAAATCTTTCACCTTACTTGAAAGATGCTTAGTGAAGGGTACTCAATGTATGTATGTGTCTTGAATGACTGTGATGTGAAACCACGACACACAGCAGTGAACTTCCCATATTCTTTGCTGATCTGCTCCAGTGTCTTGCAAACCAAGGCCATTGCAGAGTCCAGCCGTGCCTGAGCCAGGATTCCCTGTGTGTCTGAGAGAAGAGCGTGGCTAAGTACTGGCACCATGACAGGCAGCTGGCCAAGGGCAGCTTTCAGGAACAGCTGCAGAACTTTCCACGGGAGGCCAGCAGTTCTGCAGGTTTATTAAGCCCTTGCAAAGAGGCACAGGTGCTGCCTAATCTGCTCTGGAGAAGAATTCTTGGTCCTGAGCTCTGTGTGGCTGCTTGTCTGAGCATGACCTGAGGCACAGCCCCAGGCTTCCAGCAGTGCTGTAGCTTTCATTTACTCAGCAGTCACAGGGGGTTTTTCACTTGGTTAGGGTGTTCAGCATAGATGTGTTCTGGCTCTTCTCTAATCAGAGTCCTTTGTCTCTGTCCAGTTCCACATCATGGTTCTAGCAAAGTTGCAGAAATGATAGGCTGTGGCACTGAGAATATTTCATTCTCTGTGGTATCGGTCACCACTGTTTGAAAGCAGTGTGGAGTAGGAGTTCTTTTATTTAGTTCCTGCTCATGACTCTAGTAAGGAGAAGCTGTTACCAATCTTTTTCTCTTGTCTCATTATTTTTAACCATTATTTTAAACCTTTTTCTTAGCAAAATAACTTGGTTCTCAGACACATGACTTGACAGTTGTTTATCTCATGGTGCTTACATTACTTAAGATGTCACTTTATTAGATTCTCCCTATGTAAAATTCTAGTATTTTGCTTTATACTTTGTCAACTTGTCCCAGTTTCAAATATATGTTCAAACTTCATTCGTTAATGCTTATTTTTTATGCTGTCATTAATGAAAATACTAAATAAGATACTGTTCCAAAACATCATTAATAATTACTTTCCAGCCTAATCTAGTTCCCTCTTCCGTTCAGTTGGTTCCTTACCATGTTACTACACTTACAATAAATCCTTGTCTTGGGTTAATGCATTTTTATTATGCTGCAGTAGCAGATGCTCTGCTGTAAAGCCTTACATTTTAAACAGATACATTTTAGCAGTTCTTGCTGGAGAGGTGTGTGAATCCTGTGTGACTCCATGTCCACATCAAAGGACATAGAGGATAGAGCCAGCCCAGCCTCCTCTAGAGTTCTTTTCAATCTGCAATGGAGTGTGCTTCCTGCCTTTAAGGGTAATTATTAAACACTTAGATAAACTGTTTGTGTTAGCTCAGCTTCCATCTGAATAAAGAATATTGATTTGGGGTTTTTGTTGTTGTTGTTTCCTACTGTTAACATCCTTACTTACCCATTGCCTGAGCACAAGTTTCTTAGCAAGAAATTCAGACTTCATGCACAGACCTTTCTGAAATCTTGCCATGATTATTAAAAATAGGTGTTTGCAACTTTATTTTCTCACAACAGCCTCTAAAGGAAAAATACAGCATCTGTAAGAGCCTACAAATTCAATTAGACCAGCCTAGGACAGTACTTAGAAACAAAACAAAACAAAACAAAACACAAAACACAAAGTAATTCTACTTTGTGGTCTAGTTCTGGCTATTTAAGGACAGTGTGACTGTCCTGCATTGAAGGAAAAGCTCCTTTGGGTAGGTTCCTTTTACTGATCACACTGCCAAAAATGGTGTCCTTTCTTACACCATCCTCTATGGTAGACACTACCAATACACAGGATAAAGAAAAGGTTTTTACTCTCAGCAATTTCTCAGTTCTGCACAAAGAGAATTCTAAGGCTTGTTCTGTGTTTAAAAGTGGACCTTTATTAAAGGGGATCATCCTTCCTGACAAAAATCGTTACTTTTCTG